AAATCGATGACACAGAGGAATTTGAGAGCGTTAAAAAGGAGCTTGAGGTTTTAGCCGATGGCTTTATCCCCACCGACCCGTAATGTTCTGATCCGGACCGCGCCGTCTATACCAACATGTCCGTCTGCTTTCTCTCCAGGCCAGGAAACGACAGCGGGAGGAGGCGGGGTCAGGAGCTGGAGCTTCTGTGATTGGTGTGGATATGATTGGGGGCGGAGCTTCTGCTTCTTCCACGGCCGCCTCCAGAACGGAGCTCATCAATGAGCGGATCGGCTACAAGCCCCACCCCAAGCCGGCCACGCTGCCCACCTTATTTGGAAGTTTACAGTTTTAATAAAGTTTTTGCACTGATTAAACAGGCTGTTTGTTTATTTGTTGGCAAACAGGTGGATTTAATTCAATGCAGCGGTTCTAAAACCTTGAAAAAAATTAAAAACCAGAGAAGAGCAGCAACGCCTGGGGTGTGATCTCAGACCTGGTCCCCCTGGTTCTGAGGTCCACTCCTCAACAGCCGGCTGGGCTTAGTCTGCGGGCGTCAGACTTCCCAGAGGGAGACTCTTCCAGACTACCAGTTAGAGGGAGCAAGAAATCAGTTGCTGCAGGGAAAAAAAAATAAAAAATCAACATAAAGATATCAGTGCCCAACTTTCTTCCTTCCAGTTGGTCCAGAAGGTCTTTACAGCTGTGTGGACACTATCAGGAGGGGGACATCAGTCAATATAAGGTCCCTCAGTTCAGTTCAGAGTGTGAACTCCATGTAGAAGGTCTGAGGAATCGTCTGTGGACGTCAGAGACGGGATTTTCTGGACGAACACATCTTAGGAAGGATTAGAAACATTTGGGCTGCTTTGAAGGTGCTAATGATCCCACTGGTCCCCATCACAGCTCAACAGAAGAACGGCTGTAAAAACACGATATAAATTCAGACTTCAAAATGTAGTATAAATTAACCACAACAGCATTTTGTAAAAATACCTGAAATATACTGTCACAAGTACAGAGCAACGAAATGAACTCTACATTTAACCCCTCCCCTTGGGGATCAGTGGGCTGCCATTGTGCGACGCCCGGGGAGCAGTGTGGGGTTAAGGGTCTTCCTCAGGGACCGAAGCACAACGCTCCAACCACTAGGCCACCACTCCTCCTGCTTGGGTTTGAACAAGTGGATGATGGCTTTTCCTAAACAAAGCTAAAGATTTCTGGATCCATACTGAAAGATTTCAGGAATTATCCTTTAACGAGTAAACAGTTCTCTGAACTGAGTGACAAAGTGGCTGAAAATTAGGCCCCGTCCACACGAAGTCAAACCCTGGCCTAAACGCACAAATTTTTCACCAAACCAGCCTCTCATCCATACGAAGCCGGCGTTTCGGGGGTCTGTAAACGATCTTTTTTTTATTAAGCCTTCAGAGTGGGAAGATTTTGAAACGGCCTTTTCGCGTTTCCATCTTTAAGCTCTAACCGCATATTTTTCTTTACACGCATGCGTCATAGCGTCGCCTCTAAACACGCATGCGCGACACAGTATCACAACAACAATGGCGCCGTACTGTGTTGAATGGTTGCTGCTCATGCTACTCACCCTGCTGTCGGGCTTACAACAGAATCTTCTTCTTCTGGAATATCTCTAGGAAGAACAGAGCAATATCGACGACATAGTTCAGCACCTGAATTTGACTGAACCAAGAAAATAGACCCGCAGGGCAACCATGAATAAATATTAGTGCGCATGCCCAACATTTAGTCGTCTATTTTTGCTTTGGCACCACAGCGCCACTTACAGGCCTGGCATACATTTTGCAGCGTTTTCATGCATTCGTGTGGACGATCACATTTATTTTACGTCTCCGTCTTTAAGACAAATGTTCTGGAAAATATTAGCGTTTCATGTTCGTTTTGACTTCGTGTGGACGGGGCCTCAGTCTCCGATGCTAATACGGCTGCCCCTGGCTGTGGCTGGAAGGTCTGTGGTGCCTGTCGTGGCGACAATTCCCGAACCGGGTAATGCACACCGGCAGTAAGGGAGACTATTAAGCTGATGAAGGGTCCCTTCAAGCCTGGCTGGCTTGCAGGACTCCTTAACCAGCAAGCAGGTATGGTGCTGCTTCCCGGGCCGTCACAGACACAAAAACTCTGACCTGAGAGGAGTTTGGAGAGGCCATGGAGAAAAACTATTGGTTTGCCTCAAAGAGATTCTGGCAAACTGTCTAGCCCCTAAAAGCACTGCTTTTCCCTGCATGGTAATCAGCCCTGTTGTGATCTGGACAGCGTTCCTTCCCCCTTATTTAGAATAATTGAAAGTAATCAGAGTCAAAACCAATTACAGACACTTTGGTTAAACAGTAACATGTTATGAATAAACCTTGACAAAGGATCTGGCTTGTTATGGGAAGAAGTATGTCTTGTCCTCAAACACCCCTCACTCAGGAATTGTGTGGCTTTGCAGGTGAAACAGACTAAGTGAAAAACTTTTATAGTGAGTTAAAAGCATAAATCAATATATGAAATTAGAGATATCTAAAATTTCCGACAACAACAGCCTTGCTCCTCTTGGCCTTAAAGGAATAGTACACCCAAAACATGATTAGCCTTCATTTTCTACTCACCTCCATGCTGAACAACACTCTGGAGTACTTTTTTGATATCTCAAATGCATCTGGAGATCTGGGAGACTTCTTGCTGTCTGCTGACATTCAAATAATGGAGGTCTATGGTGCCTGAGACAGAAAGGTCCACAAAAGTCCACAAAAACTTGTCAATATTCCTCCATACTGCTCGTCCAATGTATTCCAAGTGTCCTGAGTGGGTAGCATCCAGAATTTACTCGAAACGAAGTCATTTAGAACGTTTTAGAGCCTAAACAGTAGTGTATAGGATTTCCTAATAGCGCCCCCATGCGCGCTCACGATTCTACGGAAGCCGGCAGACCAAACCAGCGCATTCAGCTCGGCAAAGAACTCATGCTCTTCCTCAACATTGAAGTCCTCAGACATTTTTCTTTCGTTGTTTCTTTCTTTGCACAGGTAAACAGCACATTTCTTCTTCTACGCTTGCATTATCGGCAGACCAGACGCTGAATGCGCACTTCCTTCCGGTTTGGTCTGCCGGCTTCCGTAGAATCGTGAGCGCGCATGGGGGCGCTATTAGGAAATCCTATACACTACTGTTTATGCTCTAAAAACATTCTAAATGACTTCGTTTCGAGTAAATTCTGGATGCTACCCACTCAGGACACTTGGATTACATTGGACGAGCAGTATGGAGGAATATTGACACGTTTTTGTGGACTTTTATGGACCTTTCTGTCTCGGGCGCCATGGACCTCCATTATTTGAATGTCAGCAGACAGCAAGAAGCCTCCCAGATCTCCAGATGCATTTGAGATATCAAAAAAGTACTCCAGAGTGTTGTTCAGCATGGAGGTGAGTAGAAAATGAAGGCTAATCATGTTTTGGGTGTACTATTCCTTTAAGGTTGATTTATACTTCGAAACCAGGTCGTCTGCGTAGGTTTTGCATTGAACGCGGAGACGTCCCCGCCCCCTCAACTCTACATCAGCTCTACTCTATGCATATGTCCTGTTTGGTATCTTACCGGCTTGTTTTGTTTGCATGACCGCCATTTTGGAAAACGACTGGTGAAGATGGACCAGCTAGAAGAACGAGGTGCGCGAGAACGCTCTGACCCTTTTTCTACCTGGATCCCCGCTCTTTTTGGCCCTCATGTCCCTCCGTTGTCGCACAAACTCGCCCCTACTTCCTCACCGCCTCGGCAGTATCTAGACTAGAGACTGACACGGGAGTGGATTTTCACTCCTGTCCCGTCCCACTCCCGCAGAAAAAAATGGTGTCCCGTCCCGATCCCGGGCCAGAGTAGAAATCTAAATCCTGTCCCGTCCCACTCCTGGTGAAATTACTCCCACTCCCATCCCGCTCCCATTCAGAATGACTCCCGCTCCTGCACCACTGCCATTCTTGTTGTTTTTGAGCGCTGGTGAAAAACTCAGAGCGGAAGTTACTATTGGTTTGCTCCCGCTCCCGTCTGCTCCCGTTAATGTTTAATGTTCCTGATTGGCCCTCTGATGTTGTGGCGTGGAATAACAGCGCAGACCACGCTTCAATATTGGGCATAAATCAAAAATATCTGCAACAAGCTCATTGTGACTCACTGCTGAGGGAGGATAACCAGGCCTTTAGATGGTAAGCCTCTTCACAGAATCATGCTTAGGGCCAAACCTGTAGAACCTACCATCTCTGGCCACCATGGTCCTAGGATTTAACTGGTTACTCAGCCATAACCCTCATCTAGACTGGTCTGTCATGTTGTGTAAAAAATGTCAGTTGGGTATTTTCTACACAAGCAGAAAACACATCTATTGACCAGATAAGTGGACATATTGAATCACATCTCTCTTTGAATCACAGAATCTCCTTGTCATGATGACTGGTGAGGCTCTGCCTCCCCGTCACACGTCACTGCTTCAAGGGATACAAGCTGCTCACCTGTTGCTAAGGTGTGGTTAGGTGCAGAGGACACATTTAATTGGAATGCATGGTTGCAAATAAACAAAGGTGAATCATAGTAACTTGAAGAATAAGTTCTATCTGCAGCTCTAATACTATGACCTCAGTTGATGTGTTTCAGACTAAGCTCAGAACCCATGCTCACCAACAGTTTCTAACTGTAAACAGTGTTCATAAACAGGAACACTGGTCTGTATGGAGTCCATGGTGAATGCACTGCTGCTTCTGGACTCACTGTCTGGGTTAGAATCTGGTAATGAACCTGGAGCTGTTGCTGTTTTTAATGAAATCTTATATGCTTAGATCTGCTTCTTAGGTTTCAATTTCTGAGGAATCATGTGACCAAATGTTAGCCTCCTCCTCTTATCAGGAAATAAACTTCTAAATTCTCATTGGTCCATTTTGGCTAAAGATGACAGAAATAAGGGAAGGAGGCAGTACCAAACGGTAAGATACCAAAACAAGTCGGTCATCCTGTTTAACTCAATTCACCTTTCTGTTGGACGGGCTTAGCAGGTAAGTGAACTTTATTTATTAAACAGCTTTTACAAACAACAGCATCACAAAATATGGAACAGAAAACAAAACAATCAAAAGAAAAAAACAAACAAACAAAAAAAGGAATAGAATTAAAAGCCAAACAATCAAACAAAAATTCTGCAGTAAGTCTTTTCTGAGTCAGGCAAATAAAGTAAGGTCAAGGACATATTTATAATTATAGATTATTTGCAACAACTCATGCATATCAAAGAGCTTTAGAGGCTATAATCAACAAAAATGATTAAAGAGGAAACCTGAATACTGCTGGCATCATATTGCTGTAGAGGACACCTGCGGTCGTTTGTCCGGCTTTAGGGCGGACAGTCCGGATTTTCATTGCACTGTCCGGCGTCCGGCGCCGCATCCAGCCGGACGTGTATTTGCCCTCCTTTACCCACAGATTCCACATACTCCGTCAGTGCTCCGCTCCGCTCAAGTACGTCGTGCGGAGTACTTGTCTGTCATGTAAATCAATTAGAGCTGTTCCACATCCTCCACTACTCCTCCGCACGTCTCTGTCCACGTACGTCTTCTCCGTCCTTCACCGTCAAAATACGGAACTGAGCTCTTTTTGGCTCCGCTCCCGTCAGTCCAGATCAAGACCCGCAATTGCAATCGCACCAAACAGGATAAAGAATGTAGAGAGGACCCGGTTTGTCAAATTAAATTATAGTAAAAACAGTTCGGTTACTAGAAATTAGAGCATAGTTCGTATATATTCCCAAAATTAAGAGCAATTAATTAAATAACTGGACCAAAAAATTCTTATTGCAGGAATGGATGAAGAGATGATGAGTTTGGAAGCGGAGAACAAACATAGTTCATACAAACTATGGATGATCCTGTTTATTCCTGTTACAAAAATCCACAACAGAAAGAAAATATTTGGGCAGAAACTGAACATCTGCTGGATGATGATGGGGATTTTTTTTAATATGTCATATTAAATTAAACGTTCACAGGGTTTATACCGGAATGAGGAACTCTAATTTAATGCTCTTTTAATGCTATTAGAAATAATTTTAATTTCATCAACAAGTATCATGTACACAAGTTATTAGTATACATGAAATAAGGAGCTGTAAGCACAGTTCCATGACTCAAGTTTGTGTATATATATCTACATATATATATATATATATAGATATATATATATATATATAGATAGATAACATGGTGAAATAATCTTTACTCTCGACAGGCTGCAGCCATGTCACGAATTCCTCTTTTCCAGCCACTTTTTGACATTTGTATTGTCCTATTCTCTAGCTCTCTCTCCGCCTCAAGCTTATTTTCCAAACAACTGCTTTATGATCAATTGCAGCAGTTCTGCTCAAATTAATCGTGTCAAAAAATAGTCACTTTTTAAACACCACAATGTATTAAATAAATACAAATGCTGGGAACCAATTCTTTTTTTACATCTCTTTAATATTTTGTTCTATTCAACTACACCAGCATCCTCTTTAAACTACTAAGAATTGTACTATAAATGTGACTTTACCCGATTCTTATGTACACCGTAGTAATTTATTGATATGCCGCACAATGTCCTCCTTTTTGGTGCTATAGAAATGGCCACCCTACCCCTGAAATGGAAGGTGCTCAAAGTGAAAAAGGGTACATATAGCCAGAGTCTAGGGCAGAGGGATTACTAGAATTTATATCAGCTTTAACAGGTCAATATACTATTATGTATTACAAATATCAAGCAGGGAGATATACAACTAATATTGCTGACCTTAACTGAGGACATTGTCAGACAGAGGAGGATTTCCTCAACTCCGGCTGTCATTCATTCCTACATAAAAGAAGATCCGCTGCGTTTGCTGTGCAAAGAAATGAAACCTAGTTAGGTTGCATTTCTAGTCAGTTAGTCAGTGAGACACTTTGCCGATGGCGAATTTACAAAAAGAAAAAAACAATTGCATTGTCTTATTTTAAGTACATATTATATACTTGTCTTAAGAGTAAGAATACTCATTCCATTGGCAAATCATCTTATTTACCTGTTACTAGGGGTTAAAACATACAAAAAGGGGACAAGGAAGTGGTAGTGAGCAGCAGCTGCTGCTGTTCTGGCTGCCAGGCTGGAGAGAGAGACAGAGAGAGAGAGAGGGTGGAGCCAAGGCAGACCTTTAAAGACTCCAGCTCAATAAGGGTTCAGGCTGGAAAACCTGGAACTTGAAGACATGCTTAGTACAGCTTTATACATAACACCCCCTCCCATAAGCAGGTTGATCACATCAATCAACATGCATCATAAGCAGTGGGCAACTCACGACCTTGAAAGGGCGTCTGCAAGGACATTATCACGTCCTCTGATGTGGCGGATGTCCAGGCTGAAGCCTTGCAGAAACAGGCTCCATCTTATAAGGCGCTGGTTGGAGTTTTTCATGCGACCAAGAGCGACCAGTGGATTATGGTCAGTGTAGAACACGACAGGTTGGCTGTAAGAAACACACACTTCAAAATGCTCAAGTGCTAGGATTAGAGCTAAAGCCTCCTTCTCTATGGTAGAGTATCTGCTTTGATGGATTTTAAACTTCCTAGAGAAGTAGCAGATAGGATGCTCAACTCCTGATCTGTCTTGCAGGAGGACAGCTCCAGCACCAACCTCACTGGCATCTACTGCAATTTTAAAGGGCTGACCAAAATCAGGGGCTGTCAGGACAGGGGTACTGGCCAACAAAGCCTTCAGATTATGAATGCCTGTTACGTCCACCAAGGGCACAACATATTTGAGGACACGAGACAAAAAGATGAGGGTTCAACAAGATATTTTATTTATAAATTCTCTCCTCTTTAGTTTTCTTGGCTCAGCTTCTTCTGATTTTTCTGCGAAGAAAATAAAGTTAGAGGCCCTCAGATCCCGTGCCCCAAAGGAATCAAAAAATAAGAACCTCAAAAGTAACAACAGAAAGTTGGACCTGGCAGGCCGATCAAACAGAACAAAACGGTACAGCAGGGGGCCAACCCTATACAGGGCCGTCGAAGCCCCTACTGGTACCGGACTAAAGCACAAAAATAACCTAAGCAAAAGAAAAATCGAAAATAGGACAACCGGTCCCACCAGGCCAAAACCACAAGAAAAAAAGCAAGCAACGGCTAACCAAAATACCGCATGGCAGGCTGGAACGTCCGCTGCGGGCCGCAGCGACAAGACAAGCGCGCACCGCGCACGGTGGAACGAGTGGAAGCAGGTGGAAAAGCGGAGTCCAGGCGAGGATGGAAGGGAACGCCCCAACATGCCGAAAGCCAGCCTATTTATAGGCGGACAACAGCACCACAAATTAACGTAATTAACTGGCCAAAAGAATTATTCAACTCCCAAAATATATTAACAAAAGATCCTTCAACTAAAGTCTGTAAGAAAACAAAGAAAAGAAATAGACAAAAATCATAATGTGCCCGAAGCACATAACAATGCCATACCGAGAAAATGCTTAAGCTCACGCCTGGTACTAGGAAGGTAACAATGGCCTTTATTTTGGCCCCAACTGGGCAAACCTGTCCACAACCGACGACTTTACCCAAATAAGTGACAGTAGCTTGGGCAAATTCACACTTAGCTAGATTTAAAGTCAAATTGGCAGCAACCAGCCTTGAGAAAACGTCATCAAGTTTGGAAACATGTTCGGACCAAGTTGAGCTACAGATGACCACATCATCTAGATAAGCCTCACAACCATCAACACCTCTCATCACAGTATTTACAAGGCGTTGAAAAGTGGCGGGGGCGTTTTTCATGCCAAATGCCATCACCTATATTCACAAAAGTCATCAGGGTTGACAAAGGCTGAGATTTCACGTGCTCTAGGGGTCAAGGGGACTTCACAATAACCTTTCAATAGGTCAAGTTTAGTGACAAAAGTCATGCAGTCGTCTAATCGAGGTAGAGGATAACAATAAGGCTTAGTGACTGAATTTACTTTTCTGAAGTCTGTACAAAAACGTAGTGACTTGTCAGATTTCTCTACTAGCAGACATGGTGAGCTCCATGAGCTAGAACTGGGCATAGCTATACCATGTTGCAGCATGTACTGTACCTCCTTTTGCATAACCTGGTGCTTCTCAGGGTTCGCTCTATATGGATGTAGCTTTATAGGGGCAGCGTCACCAACATCTATGTCATGCTGTAGGACGCTGGTGCAAGATGGTACATCTGAGAAGGGCTCAGGATGCCTGTGGAGTACAGCAATAATGTCATCACGTTTTCGTTTAGGTTAGACAGAAGCTCAGAGTTCGGCAACCTTCTCTCAGGAACTGATTTTTCAACCATACCAGACACGTCCTCAGGCTCTGAATCTGCGGTGGTCAGCACAGAAATAGGCTTGGGCTCAGAGAGGACATTTTTTCTGCCAAAATATGGCTTCAGAAGGTTAACATGGCACATACGTGTTTTCCTTTTCCTGTTTGGGGTCTTAACCAAATAGTCAGTCTCACTGACCTGACTTTAGACCACAAAAGGCCCACTATATTGAGCCTGCAAAGTAGACCCAGGAAGTGGCAGGAGAACAAGCACCCTCTCCCCCGGAGAAAACACTCTGTGCTTAGCTTTTCTGTCAAACCTTTGTTTCATTTTGTCTTGGGCTTTGCATAAGTTTGACTTAGCAAGTTCACAAGCCCTCTGGAGTTTGGACCTGAAACTACACACACCTGCAAGAGGTTAGATTGACAAGGTGACTCTTCTGACCATCTCTCCTTAAAAAGTCTCAGTGGTCCCCGTACCATATGGCCAAACACTAACTCAGCTGGACTGAACCCTAGTGACCCTAGTCACTTCTCTGACTGCAAAGAGTAAGAGGGGAACTCCCTCATCCCACTCTTTTTCAAACTCTTCACGGTAGACCCTCAACATGTTTTTTAATGTCTGATGAAACCTCTCTAGGGCTCCCTGCGACTCTGGATGATAAGCAGAGGAAGTACAGTGTTTTATAGACAACTACGAGAGAACACCTTAGACATGAAGTTTGTTCCTTTGTTCAGTCTGAACAACCTTTGGAAGACCAAACAGTGTGAAAAACTTAATAAGCGCCTTAGAAACAGTGGTCGCAGTGATTTTTCTGAGGGGAACAGCCTCTGGGAAATGTGTTGCCATACACATAATTGTCAGTAGATACTGATTTCCAGACTTGGTCCTCGGGAGTGGACCCACACAATCAACCACAATGTGCTCAAATGACTCCCCAATGACAGGTGTACAAAAGACCCTTAAGTAGTTTAGGTTTCGATGTTAGGTACTGCTGTTTATATTCTGTAGTTTCTGCGCAGTGTTATTTTGGCCCTTAAGGCATGCAGAAGTTAGGAAGCAGTGACGTCATCACGTTGCCGTGACGACCGTTGCTGCTGCCGGTTGAAAAGTTCGGCAGTTGAGCCACTGAGCTAACACAGGGAAAGGACTTGGAAATATGTGTGTTCTTCAAATAAGTGTGCGTCACTGACGAGTAAGTTTAATGTCTGAGTGTTTATTGCAGTTAAATGAGTTATTTTCGTTCTTAGTTACCTGTTGATAAGTCTTGGTTATCTGCTGTGTGTGTGTATTGTAGAGTGTTGTGGCGAACCTACGCATCCACTAGATGGCGCCAAGCCATGATTGTTAGCTAACTTTGTTGTTTGCTGATAACAGTATATTAGAGGTAAAACTTTTAAGAGTTTAATTATTTTCTCCTTAGCTTATCTATGGTGTGATATGTAAAGATAGGGTAATTTGAATTATCTTTCTTGTCTTGTTTTAGGAAACCACACACACACTTACACACGTACCTACCTGGAAATACCTTATGTTCATTTAATCAATTGGAATCCGAAATTGAGTTTGGAATACAGACCAGTTAAAGGATCCTGGCTCATGTCTTCATTCTCCACCTGCTGCACCTTCTTCTAACATCTAGTCCTGATTGAAATCCTGGCCTGAGTAGTGTTCTGGCCGACACTCCCGGTTGAGAGCAGTGATAAACCCAAACAGTACCTTACAGTCCTATAACTTACAGCAAACTCACCTACAACAGGAATGGGATGTAAAGGGGCCTTGGGAATCGTCTGATTAGGTTTACCCACAATTTGACAGACATGACAGGTTTTACAGTACTGGGCAACATCAGTTTTTAAACCAGGCCAATAGAAGTGTCTCCTTACTCTATCTAGAGTCTTCTTTACACCCATATGTCCTGCTAGGCTATGGTCATGAGCAAAGCCAAGTATTTCAGAGCGATAAACCTCTGGGACAACAATTTGATAAACACTACTCCAGTCATCCTTACAGGTTAGCTCTGGGGGAGTCATGGAGTTTGCATGTTCTCCCTGAGCATGCGTGGGTTCTCTCTGGGTACTCCGGCTTCCTCCCACAGTCCAAAAACATGACTGTTAGGTTAATTGGCTTCTCTAGATTCTTCTTAGGCGTGAGTGTGTGTGAATGGTTGTTTGTCCTGTTTGTCTCTATGTTGCCCTGTGATGGACTGGTGACTTGTCCAGGGTCCAGAGTTATAACTCCCCTAACCCACCTGAACATTAAACCCTTCCAAATTGGTTAACCTGTTTTGTTTATATGTTTATAGAGAGAAGAATCCCTCAACACACTCAGCAACATCCCTGTTCTACAAGCCTTCAGAGATCATGGGCGTTAGTAACATGAAAAAACTGGTTGAAGAGTCAAACATCTTAGAAGATGAAAAATTCAAAGACAGCTCAGTCGTCATTGATGGTCCCAATCTCTTCTATAATCTGTATTTTAACTCCAAACCAAAGCTGGACCAACAACATGGAGGAGATTACTCTGCATTCAGAGAGCTGGTTCGACGGTTCTTCTCCAACCTCCAGCAATGTAATATCACAGCGCTGGTGGTTTTGGATGGAGGCTCATCGGCAATGAAGGGGAAAACCATTGAAGATCGGATGAAAGAAAAACTTAAAAAGGCAAAAAGAATCTCAGAGTCTAAGGCTGGGAGCTGGGATAACATCCTACCTCCTATGGCCAAAGACGTCTTTATCCAGATTCTTCAGGAAATGAACATAGAGATGCAGCAGTGTTTAGGGGAGGCTGACCAAACAGCTGCCATGTGGGCCAATGAGAGGAAGTGTCCAGTTCTGTCCAAAGACTCAGATTTCTACATCTTTGATATACAGGAAGGGTTCCTTTACACTGATCAATTTAATTGGGAAAATGTAGAAGGAGGAGCCATTCTAGCGAAGCGCTACAGAATCTCACGCTTTTGTGAAATATTTAAGATAAAATGTAAGCAGATGCCCATCTTTGCTGCAATATCAGGCAATGATTACTCACGCTTAGATGACAAGGGAGTGTTAACTAGATTATATCATCAACCCCAGCAGCCTGGAGGTTACCATGCTAATCGGCAGCGATTCATCCTGAATTTCTTAAGCCAATACAAGGCGAGAACAATAGAAGAGGCTGTGAGAGCAGCTCTACAGCTGATAGGTGAAACCAGAAAGGAGGAAGTGAAAAAGTTTGTAGATTCAGCTCAAACTTACGATTTAGTTGAACCACCTAATCCCGACCTGCCGGAATGGATGATCCATGAAGTTCAAAACGGAAGGCTGACCTCTTTTGTCACAATTGTGGCTGATAAATCGATGACGCTGACTCCACTGGTGGAGGATTTTTCCCAGCCCAGCAGCTACGAAGCTTCTCATCGTATCAGACAGTTCTTCTATGGATTGCTGGTTGGCTCAGAGCCATTCACAGAATATGACAGGAGGGGCACTGAGGATCTGTGTCCCAAAGCAGTGACTCCTATCACACCAAGCGTGACACCAAAGGACCTGCAGAGGCTGAAGTTGGAACATCTAAATGAGGTAGAAATGTTAAAGATTCATTTAGACCACCGATAATAGCCCCATTTACTAGTGTTGCACCAATACCGATACCAGTATCGGGCAGGGCCCCAACACTGCACTAAAATGGTGTTGTCAGTATCAGCGAGTACCAACAAATAGGGCGCCTATACCTTTTTGAGAGCCAAAAGTTTATTCAACTATTGTCACCCATTCCAGGTAGACAATATAAAATTCTACTAGATTCACTTTGTGTTAGTCCTGCTTCACAAAGGTAGGCAGCAGCTTGACAAAGCCATGATGGCAATTATTTTACATCCCATTAGTATATAGTTCTTCATATATACACAGACAAATCAATTTCAAACAGATGGTATCGGTATCAGGCAATACTGCACAGCCAGGTATCGGTATTAGGGCAAAAAATGGCATTTGTGCCACACTACCATTTACTCCCTTTTGAAACCGTGCCGAGATCGGTCCTTGCATGATGACCACGATAACTGTTGAGTGTAAATTGTACGCAGAATTGAACCGGACCATGCCAGACACAACTAAACTGCGCTAACATGGTACTAGTTCATCAGTAGGGCTCGGTGTGGTTCAGGTCTGGCTCGGTTCTCAGAAAGCAAAGAGCGCATGAGCCGACTGCGTCATCTCCTTACAGTCAGCCTCCGTAATCAGGAAATTTCCGACATTCATGGAAACACTATCTTCTCAACTGTCCCTACGATTTCCACTGATGATTCTGCTTAGCAGTGTGATGAACCTCAACGTCTGTCGTTGTTTCCTGCGTCAGGAAGCACTGATTAGACTATCGTTTGTCGTATCCACTTCCCAAAAGCTAACTCTGTCAAGTAAATTCACCAAAGGCTGCCTTCTTTGCCTAACTCTCGGCAAACAATGAAATATCACAATTATAATGAAACTTTCTGAATGTTATGGGCGCCGCCATGTTGGTTGGCTTATTTACCTCTTGAGAGCAGTAGTACCGTAGATCGTCGATAGAATGCGAGGAACCGTGCTAGTGTGGTGTGTAAACGGTCTTAAGGAACCGAGCTCGGCACGGTTAAATGATCCAAAGTTTTACTTAACATTTTTTAGTTGGATTTTTGGATTCATGTTTTTGCTACCTGTGCTATCCCGTTAAATCTGCAAGAACTCACCTCAGCCTCCCTGCCTCTATATCGGGTCCTCACACAAACATCCAACACAATCGTGACAGTTTTGGCCCCACTGTATTCGGTGTTTCAACAGATTTACAAGAGAGATCATCTGATGGTACCAAGTCAGTTCCGTCTGACAAAAAAGACACACAAGTCTTTAGCCAATCTTGAGTCGGAACATTATTGCATTATTTGATAAGGATTGATTTTAACAAAACTCTTTTTAGGTGAAATATAGTGTCACTGGGGGGGGGGGGGGGGGGGGGGGGGAGTTAAAAAAAAACATTCTTTATTTGTGCTCACTGATTTTGTTTTGATAAAAATCCTTTGGCTAAAATGCCATCAGAACGCTGATAATATTAAGTGTGTCTCAGCCCCCCCCCCCCCCCCCCCCCTTCAGTGTCCACCATATTGGATCAGTCCATTTGCTGCACATGTTCAGAAAGGTCCAAACAGACAGCAGCAAACCATTTGAAAACAAACCATGCAAAGAGCAGTGTTGCTAACTTAGCGCTTTAGTCGCTATATTTAGCCACTTTTCAGACCCCTCTAGCACTTTGATTTCTAAAAAGCTCCTAGCGCCAAATCTAGAGACTTTTTTCTGCTACTGGAGACTTTGGAGACAACATCTAAAAGCAGCGAACTCTGCTCTCCAGAGCCAGTAGATTGGTAACCCCGCCTCCTGCTCTCCTCTATCTTGTCTGCTGTCATGATTCATGCAGCTATTATTTCATCCAAATGAAAAATGGAGAACAGATAAGCAGATCATGGCTTGTCTACAGTGAAAAGAAGGACTGGGTTATTTACTTTGGCCTTTTTGGAAACACAGGAAGGAGCAATCAGCTAAGTGAGCTTAGTGCTTGGAAAAAATCTTTCATTCCTTTAGAGACAGCATGAAAAGTCAGCTGAGTACAAAACATAGAGAGGAAAACAAGAAGAAAAGGGACAAGAAGAGAGGGACACAACCTAGAACAGATAATGGATGTCCATTCTATTAACATTTCTCTATCTGTAAAATGGGTCTCTTTGATGTGTTGTCTTCTCAATTCAGAGGGCCCCTGCCTGTCTTTGCCTAGGGCCCGAAATTTCCTAAATCCAGTCCTGAATGTCACCTCACAGACCTTCTGTCTTTGTTGTTCTCTAATCTCTGGTTTTATGTCACCTTTGATGCTTTCTTCTTTGGGAATGATGGGCTGATCTGTGATGCTGAGGACAGAAACAATGGAACGGATCATTAATCCAGGGCTTCTCATGGGGCGGAGTTCTGTTCTCAAGTTTGATCGGTCAGAAATAATAAATCATTTTAATCCCTCTTTAGGCTCCTGAGGATCTGCGTCGGAAGGTGTTTTTTGAAGCTCTCAGGTGTTCCAGCCCTGAAAACATTCCGGACCGACTGAAGCTAACGCTCATTGTGACCCGGTTCTGGTTTCAGTACCGGCAAGAGAACAGCCCAGGAGGTTTAAACAACTTCTATCTGCAGGCCTTACTGCTGGGGTTTCTATATGGGGAGGATGATGCAGGTGAGTCTACGCTCATCAGGATTTAACATGAATGAATGAATAAATGAATGAGTGAATCAATCAATCAATCAATCAATCGGTGTGGCTGCACAGTGGAGCAGTTTGTAGCTCTGATGCCTTGCAGCAAAAAGGTACTATGCTCAATTCTCTAAGTTGGATGAATGAATAAATGTATGAAGGGACAAACAACTGATATGAATGAATGAATGAATGAATGAATGAATGAATGAATGAATGAATGAATTAGTTTCTTAAGAAATGAGCAAGTGTCCAGCTGAATGTATCAACCAATGAGCAAATGAATGAAAGAACAGACTCCAGTATGGTGAAACTGAAGCAGGTGAGTCACTTTTCACCCTGAATGAATGAATAAACATATACACTGAGTGAATGAATGAAATAACAACAACAATGAATCAATCAATCAATTAACAAACAAACATAAATAAATCAGAAAATAAGATAAGATAAGAGATAAGATAATCCTTTATTTGTCCCACAGTGGGGAAATTGCAGCGTTGCATCACAGTACAGTAGGAAAAAGAAGAAGAAGAATACAAAGTATAAAAAAATATATATATATATATATATATATATATATATATATATATATATATATATATATATATATATATATATATATATATATATATATATATATATATATATATATATATATATGTACACACACACATTAAGTATATACAGACAGACAAGGCAACACTGGTATAAAGTGACAACAGTAAAGTTCTGTGCAAATGATTGATTGTATTAAATTATTGCAGATTTAAATAGGTATGAGTGATGTATACAGTAGATATGCAATAATAACAGGTAAAGTGACGGTGGACATATGGTTGATACGGAGCTAGCATTGTTGGTTGTACAGTCTGACAGCAGCGGGAAGAAAGGATCTGCGGAATCTCTCCTTTATACAGCGAGGGTGTATCAGTCTTTCACTGAAGCTGCTCTCCAGAGCAGAGAGAGTGTCCTTCAGGGGGTGGTCCTCATGGTCCAGCATAGACATGAGTGTTATGTGCCCCAGGCACATTATGATTTTTGTCCATTTCTTTTCTTCGTTTGCTTATAAACTTTAGTTGAAGGATCCTTTTGTTAATATATTTTAGGATTCTTTTAGTAAATCAATTATGTTAATTTGTGGTGCTGTCGTCCGCCTATAAATAGGCTGGCCTTCAGCACGTTAGCGCGTTCCTTGCGCGTTCCTTTCCAACCTCGTTTGGACGCCACTTCCCACCTGCTTCATTTGCTCCATTGTGCGCGGTGCGCACTTGTCTTGTCGCTGAGGCCTGCAGCGGACGTTCCAGCCTGCCATGTGGTATTTTTGTTAACTTTTTCTTACTTTTTTCTTGAGGTTTTTGGCCTGGCGGGACCGGTAGTCCTGTTTTCGATTTTTTCTTTCGCTTAGGTTATTTTTTACCTTTAGTCCGGTACCAGTAGGGGCTTCGACGGCCCTGTATAGGGTTGGCCCCCTGCTGTACCGTTTTATTCTGTTTGATCGGCCTGCCAGGTCCAACTTTCTGTTGTTACTTTGGGTTTCTTTTTTTATTTTTTTGGGGCACGGGATTTGAGGGCCGTTAACTATTTTTCTCTTCGCAGAACATCTGAAGAAGCCGAACCAAGAACAACTAAAACGGAGAGAATTTATTAATAAAACATCTTTTTTTGAACCCTCATTTTTGTCTCGTGTCCTCAAATATGTTGTGTCCTTGGTGGGCGTAACAATGAGTTTGGACAGGGCCCTCCTGTCCCCCACCTGCTGTACAGAGTCCAGAGGACAGCCCAGGACTGAGCTGGACCTCTATGAACTATAGAACAAAAAATAAACAGATTGTAAAGGATAATAGTTAATAAATAAAACAAGAGAAACTCAAATGATGAACAAAAACAATTAATGAATGAACAAAATAACTACATCTGCAATCAACAACAATTATTGAAGATTTCCAGAGGACTTCACCATTGAAATTCACCAGAGCTATAGTGAAACTGACAATGCCAACGTGCATGGCAGCTGGATGCTGGAATACATCGGGTAAAAGTGAAAAAAAAGAGTTATTCCACCTTTCTGATTCCTGATCCTCCACGGACGGGTTGGTCGTTGGATCGCCAACTTGAAGAGGGAGGATTTGCCATCAAACTTCTGGCCAGAGAAAAAACACGTAATATGTAGCCAACATTCAATTCAATTCAGTTTATTTATATAGCGCCAAATTCACAACACATGTCATCTCAAGGCACTTTCCAGTTCAACCAGATCATACAGTCAAATTGATACAAAGTTTTCTATCTAAGGAAAACCAGTTGATTGCATTGACTCATTGACTCTTCAGCAATCCCTCACACTAAGCATGCTTGTAGCGACAGTGGAGAGGAAAAACTCCCTTTTAACAGGAAGAAACCTCCAGCAGAACCAGGCTCAGTGTGAGCGGCCATCTGCCGAGGCCGACTGGGGTTCAAGGAGACAGAAGCAGAGATACAAAAAGCAGCTGTAAAAGGCGGCCCCGTCCAGGAAACACACAGCCAGGCAGACGAGCTCCAATGCAGCTCCCATGCCAGAGGACGAAGAGAGCACATCCACTCAGTCACGGTCAGAGAAACAGGACCACACTGGAAAACAAGCCGATCTCCAACATCTATAAACAAGGGTGTTGATGGCAGCAGCACAGCTGATGTTTCTTTCCAGGATGACGTCACAGCCAAACAGGAACAGACGAGTCAAAGCTACTCTGAGGAAAAGCAGAGAGAGCAGAAGGTTAGAGATTGAACTAACAGATTCTGCAGAATAGGAGAACAGAGAGAGAATGAAGCAGAATGATGAAATGGGGGTCCCTATGTCCTCCAGCAGTCTAAGCCTATAGCAGCATAACTATAGAGATAGCTCAGGATAACCTGAGCCACCCTAACTATAAGCTTTATCAAAAATGAAAGTTTTAAGCCTAGCCTTAAAAGTAGACAGGGTGTCTGCCTCACGGACTAAAACTGGTAGTTGGTTCCACAGGAGAGGAGCCTGATAACTAAAAGATCTGCCTCCCATTCTACTTTTAGAAATTGTAGGAACCACTAGTAAACCTGCAGATTGAGAGCGAAGTGCTCTGTTAGGAACATAAGGAACAATCAGATCTCTGATATCAGATGGAGCTTGGCCATTTAAGGCTTTATATGTGAGAAGGAGGATTTTAAATTCTATTCTTGATTTAACAGGAAGCCAATGAAGAGAAGCCAGGATAGGAGAGATATGATCTCTCTTTTTAATTTTCATTAGAACTCTGGCTGCAGCATTTTGGATCAGCTGAAGGCTTTTAACTACAGTTTGTGGACTTCCTGATAGTAAAGAATTACAATAGTCCAGCCTTGAAGTAACAAATGCATGGACTAGTTTCTCAGCATCACCCCTGGACAGGATATTTCTAATTTTTGCAATGTTCCTCAGATGAAAGAAGGAAATTCTAGAAACCTCTTTGATCTGGGATTTAAATGACAGGTCCTGATCAAAAATAACACCAAGATTTTTTACTTTATTATCTGAAACCAGTTTAATCCCATCCAAATGAAGTGACTGGCTAATCAGTTTCTTTTTCAGAGACTCTGGTCCAAAGACTATAACTTCTGTTTTGTCTGCATTCAGAAGCAGAAAATTAAGAGTCATCCAGGTTTTTATGTCTTCAAGACATGCCTGTAATCTATGTAATGGGTTAGCTTCATCTGGATTTATAGACAGATATAGCTGGGTATCATCAGCATAACAGTGGAAATTAATCCCATGCTGTCTAATAATTCTACCAATTGGGAGCATGTATAAAGTAAAGAGAATTGGTCCTAGCACTGATCCCTGTGGTACTCCACAGGTAACCTTTGAGCGTGTTGAAGATCTATCATTAACATGAACAAACTGAATTCGATCAGATAGATAAGATTTAAACCAGTCTAGTGCTGTTCCTTTAATTCCAACAAAATATTCAAGTCTTTCTAAAAGAATATTATGGTCAACTGTATCAAATGCAGCACTAAGATCCAACAGGACGAGCACAGATACAAGTCCATTATCTGAGGCCATGAGAATATCATTAGTGACTTTCACCAGAGCTGTTTCAGTGCTATGATGAGCTCTAAAGCCAGACTGAAACTCTTCAAAAAGTTCATTATGGTGGAAGTGATCGCAGACTTGTTTGGCAACTACTTTCTCAAGAATTTTGGATAAGAAAGGAAGATTGGATATAGGTCTATAATTGACCAAGTCATCTGGGTCAAGAGACAGTTTCTTAAGCAGAGGTTTAATTACAGCAACCTTAAAAGCTTTAGGTACATATCCCTGTAACAGAGATAGATTAATCACATCTAAAATGGAGGAGGAGATCAAAGGGAATACCTCCTTAAATAACCTGGTTGGAACTGGATCTAACATACAAGTTGAAGGCTTAGATGAAGACAATAATTTTGCTAATTCAGAGAGTTCAACTGGATCAAAGCAGTCTAAACCCGGTTCAGATTCCATGACTACCTCAGGTACAATCGCGGATAGAGGAGTGCTTATGATCTTATTAAAAATAAGATCAATCTTATTTATAAAGAATCCCATAAAATCATTGCTGCTAAGAGCAGGTGGAATGGACGGTTCAACAGAGCTATGGCTCTGGGTGAGTTTGGCAACTGTTTGGAAGAAGAATGTTTTCAAGATGACTTGGATAATAGCGCGTTGTGACAAACACCAGATACAGCACTGGGACTTGATCAACAGCCGATACCGCACCGTGACGTCACAAACCAGTAGGTGGCAGTAGTGTTCTTTGACAAACATGGAACATAATGAGAGCAGGCGAGTGAATCACTAACTGGCCAGGAAGAGTTCAACTTGTAGCTATCACCTTTACTGAACAAAAAAATTAATGAAAGTAAAACTGGATGAATGAATACATTATAAAACAGACAAAGGAATGAATGGATGAATGAATGAACAAAGTAGTGAATGATTAAATGAATGAATAAATGAATGACTGTACATCAGCAGCTAATGTATCTTTGCTTTAGAACATCAGTTTAAGGCCAAGTTGGACGGTTTAAAGTCTGAAGGCTGCTCTCTGCAGCCTGAAGTTGCTCATGCATTCAGCCAGTGGCAGAACTGCATGAGGCATAGCCTCCATCTGAACCAGCTGCTGGGCCGCCCCCTGCCAGAACCTCAGTGTTACCGGTAAAGATCCTCCCAGCAGTCCCATCTGTCGTCACAAAACAAAACCATGTTTTAAATCAGTGATTTTTGTTTTTTTCAGGCTCTACTGTGGACCTCTGATCCACAAGCTGCAGCAGGAACTGCAGAACTCAACCACTGCGTTCGAAGAGCTTCGCAACCTGCTGGATGAAGGACGCAGAGATCTCCTGGATACCTCACTGCAGTTTACAGGCCCTTAGTGTCCTGAATGAGAGAAGGGTCGTCACCTGGATTAAAGCGGCCCTTAGCTCCAGAAGAGATGGGAAACCGTAATAGGAAAGAGACAGAGGAAAAAACAAGCATTTGAGAGGGTTCCTCTGCTTCCCAGGGGCCGAGCGATACAAATGCCATGCAAATACATGAATTCACAGCAAATTCAAGCAAACCCAAACATTTGACTGGCCAACACAGAAACAGCACTAGAACACAAGCACTGCAAACACATAAATAATGCAAACACACAGAAAACACAAAAACGAAAAATAATTCAAGTAGAAAAAAGAGCGGCAAGGAAAGAAAAGCTGCAAACTCTCCACATAACGGAAATTCTCCAGATGAAGCAGAAATAAATAAACGGGATTCTCAGAGAGATTAAGTGTTTAAAAGAGATTTAAAAGAAAAGCTAGTGTTAGCCCTGGCTGCTGCATATGGGCTAACGTTAGCCCTGGCTGCTAGTGTTAGCCCTGGCTGCTGCATATGGGCTAACGTTAGCCCTGGCTGCTAGTGTTAGCCCTGGCTGCTGCAGACGGGCTAACATTAGCCCTGGCTGCTAGCGTTAGCCCTGGCTACAGCAGACGGGCTAACGTTAGCCCTGGCCACTGCAGACAGGCTAACGTTAGCCCTGGCTGCTGCAGATGGGCTAACATTAGCCCTGGCTGCTAGCGTTAGCCCTGGCTACTGCAGACGGGCCAACGTTAGCCCTAGCCACTGCAGACAGGCTAACGTTAGCCCTGGCTGCTGCAGACGGGCTAACGTTAGCCCTGGCCGCTGCAGATGGGCTAACGTTAGCCCCGGCTGCTGCAGACGGGTTAACGTTAGCCCTGGCTGCTAACATTAGCCCTGGCCACTGCAGACAGGCTAACGTTAGCCCTGGCTGCTGCAAACGGGCTAACATTAGCCCTGGCTGCTAGCGTTAGCCCTGGCTACTGCAGACAGGCTAACGTTAGCCCTGGCCACTGCAGACAGGCTAACGTTAGCCCTGGCTGCTAGCGTTAGCCCTGGCTGCTGCAGACGGGCTAACATTAGCCCTGGCTGCTAGCGTTAGCCCTGGCTACTGCAGACGGGCCAACGTTAGCCCTAGCCACTGCAGACAGGCTAACGTTAGCCCTGGCTGCTAGTGTTAGCCCTGGCTGCTGCAGACAGGCTAACGTTAGCCCTGGCCGCTGCAGATGGGCTAACGTTAGCCCCGGCTACTGCAGGCGGGCTAGTGTTAGCACCGGTGGTTGCCGCGGTCCTCTCAACTTCGGAAATTTCTTTTTAAATTACGCATAAAATCGGTAAATTGGCCATATGGGAACCCTTCAAAGTATAATGTTCTCGCCTTAACTGAACGTAAAACATACTTTTATTGAACAACGGCAACAGAACAGAGAACTTTTAACTTCGTACTCTGTGAGCGCTCCATTGAAAGCTGCTGCTGCCACAGTGCATGCTGGGACAGCTGTAGGTCTGGAGGACGGACAAGTCTGCCCTGATGCATGCTGGGTAAAGAGGGAGGGGCCAGAACAGCATCCGGGGACTTTGTCCGTTCTCAGTCTGCCGTTGTCTTTTCTTTCTTCCCTCCATATCTCCTCTCTGAAGCATCCCTTATCCCTTTATGTTTTTGTGACGGATACAGTCCATAGATGTTAATTCGTAGTAATATGGTTTGGTACCATATGTGTTCATGTTTGCCTCCCCTAGTGGTGTTCAGCACTTCTGTTATGTGGAGCTAGTTTTCTGCTTTTCTTTGCAGTGTTACCAACTTAGCACTTTTGTTGCTAAATCCAGCAAATCGTTCCTCCCACTCTCTCTCACTCTCTCTGTTTCCAAGTTTAAAGACGTTTCTCTTCCCAACCAGGAAGTTTTTTCAATTCAAAATGTCAGAGTTAGCGTGGAGTTGAAGGCTTTATAGAGCCGACCAAAAACAAAGCCTTGTTTTGGCTTAGAAGAAATCCAAAACAAGGCTTTTGGCAATAATAGAGGGGAACGGGTTTTTTCAGGCTTCAGAACAAAAATTACTGTTACAAAATGTTTATAAAGTGAATGTTGCATATTATGGGACCTTTAAGGCTCGGGATGGGACCAGCATGCACTGGGGAGGGCCAGGAGGGGGGGAGACAAATCACATGGATCTTTGTATTTATTGCTGAACTGGATAAATAGGCCTGAAATTCTCCAACAGTGCAGCAGTGGAAAGTGGATCTTTGATGGTTGAAGTTTCGTTTAATAAACTATGGGATTGCTATAAAACATTTTAATCAAATAACAGCTGTGGAATTAAATGTTATTCAGAAGTAAAATGATGTTTAATTGAAATATATATTCACATTTAATCCAGTATGATTGCAACCATAGAGCTATAATCAATCAGGTGTTTGGGGATGGTTATAATGAAAGGAATAGGTTTCTCCGTGAAACAGTACGTCCCGTCTCAGATCTCACTGCGGCGGCCGTCATTATTGCATCCGTGTAACTTTGATCTTTGTTTTGGTTTTCTTTTAATAAATGTTTTAATTGCTCTACATTCACCGGCTCTATTTGCATTTGTTCTTCTTCACATCGACTCAGCTATTTTGCCATTTTCAGGTAAATCTAAGAATTTGGATTATTTAGTTTGCCCTGTTATTTGGAATAGGTTTTTGGTAAGTGATTCACTTAATTAGTTAATTAATTTTAGCTTGGGATAAATAAAGGTGTTTCACAGTATTCATAGGTAGGTTTTAGGGAGCTCATAATGCACATGGGTGGTCATGTGGTTTTTTCCAGTCCCAGTCAGCCGGTTTTGTCATCATTTGTCAGTCTGTCAGTCAATTAACAGGTGCATTAATTAAGGTAAGAGCAAAAGCAGAATCCCGTGAAGCCTCTAACCTGTTTGGTCTGAACACAGGAATAAAACAAAGAACTGCATTTTGATCTTTTGGACTGCGTAAGCCAGAATCCACGGTACATCAAGTGACTATTTAAGTTAAATTCACCTTTTGTTTTGATCACTTTTTCTTTTCTTTCACCAAAGCACACCCCAGATAACTCTTAAGTTTTGTAAAAAAAATAATCACTACACTCTAATTTCCATCAATCCGTACAGTAGACTTTATAAACCAGGAAGGAAAAACCTCACTGTTAGAAATAATATCTGTGGAACTGATTTAAATTTATTTGAATATCAAATTATATTAATTTTTAAATGGATAGATAGTTATTAGGGAGTACACTTTTGAATTTCCTCTGTTAAACTGCTGTTCGCTCATATGTCCAGCTGGTGGCAGTAATGCACCGATAGAGTTGGGTTAACAACAGCGATAGAACCAGAAGAAGACGGCGAAGAAGCAGCAGAAGGAGTTTGTCATCAGAGTTTGCTCAGGTGTGTTTTGTCATCTGCAGGCGGATTCATGTCTGCACAGGTGAGCTTTTCATACCAGACTCCTATAACTTTTCGTCTAATTCTAGCAGCTATTTAACGTCTCGTATGACAAAAACGTCTTTAAACTGAGATGTAAGGGAGGTAAGAACAGGTTTATTAACAAGGACTTTCCATGCCGAATGGAATCCGGTCATCGTCTTAATATGATGATAACCTCCGTTCTATGTCAGGTGTTCAGGAAAAGCAGAAATCCTTAAATTTAGTAAAATCCGAACCAAGTTCTGAAGCGCGGTAGCGGACAGCGCGTCTGTCCCTGATGCCAAGCACGAGATCTCAAAGTCCGCGTGCGGAGCTAATCAGGTCACACCCCCATTAACTGTGAAGGCAGGGTCATGTGAGGCCCCCAGGGGCCCCTAAAGACCACCAGAACCTCTCTGGACTGAACTCAGCTACAATTTAAGGGATTAATCTTTAGTAAACTGATGAATTCTAAGTGTGAAAAATATAAATAATATGTTTTATTAAATTATAGCAAAAAAGTATTTATTTATTTTTTTTATCCCTGGCCAAATTAAATAAACATTCTTGCTAGTTTCTACTAGCACAAATTAAGTACAAAGACTCAGGAGTATTTATAACAAGATTGTCTGATAATAAAAGAAAGTTGCATTAAGTGTAAATATTTACAGCAATCTATACAGTAATGATGGGTTAATGATACTGACCCCTGCTGGACATTTAAAGACACTACAGGCAGGAGATCTGATTGATTTGATGAGCTAGTTGTACGATATAACTTAAGTTATTGTAGGTTATATTGTATTATTTCATATCTATGTTTAAAATAAAAATATCTTTGATATTTTTAGATGCAGCCAATAAATAATGTAAACATTTATCATAACATGAAAATCTCAGTTATCAGTCAACTTATCTCAATTAACTTTAATTGATAACTGAGAAGAAAAGGATGACACAATGAGAAAATTAAAATAAAAACACAACGGTTGAAACGTTCCTGTTCCTTTCAGGCTCCAAAATTCTTGATCATTTTAATGATAAACGGCATAAGAAGAGACATTATTTTTTAGCAGATGCATCATGTTGACAGATAGGTTTTTAATCGTAGTTTAGTGAGTCAGTCAGTCAGAAACAACTCCTGTATCGGTCACATGACTTTCTTGAATCGACATGCGCACCGATACGCATGCACCGACGCATCGATGTTGCTGGATCCATACAGGCTTCCTTCATTTTGGAATAACTTTAGATTCCTGCTGACTTTCGGCTCCTTGGATGATAATTCTGGCGCCTCTTTAATGAGGTTCTATGTTCCTCATGCTGTAGGTCTCCATGGAGCTTCGGCCTCTTGGTATCACTGCTTTCTAAACGTTGCACCTTCCTCTACTGGGTTACATTTATCTGGGTGTTTCCTTATACTTATGATATTTATTATTCCAGCTGTATTAACTACTGATTTTAATGGAAAGTTGAGTGGAAGAAAAAGCTGTGATGGTTGAGAGTCAGGAATGCACACAAGCTGAATGTTTTAAAGCAGCTCTGGGGTGGTGAGAATCACTAGATCAGGGGTCAGCAACCCAACCTGCTCAAAGAGTCACATTGAAGCAAAAAAAACAAAAAATAATTCCGTCTGGAGCCGCAAAAATGTTAGTCTTCTATAAGCCTCATATAGCAACACGGGCTCTAAGTAGATTAGCCAGCTATAACGGACTAAGTGGGCTTAAAAATATAATAAGTATTCATGGTTAAATGTTTAACTGGCGAGCCTCTCGCTCGTAGCCAGCTGGAGATGGCACCAGCACCCCTCGCCATCCCAGCAGGGATAAAGCTTGGTGGAAAATGGATAGATTAAATGTTTATCCTTAGGTTTTGTTGCATTGATGAAATTATAGAAACGCAATGAGGGAATCTTTCTATGGTGGACGTGTTTCTGTTGGGAGGAGCTGATTGAGTCCATCCATCATCCATCAGAGCAGAGCATCTCTGACCCTGAAATCCCACATCCTCCGTCACCAGCGCTCCTTGCTGATATTTTTTATTTTGATGAAATGGGAAAAAAAATGGAAGAAAGTTCCCATCCCTGCATCATAGCGCCACCTGTTCGATCTATAAAAGGTTTTCTAGGCTTGCAACCAAACCAGCAACAGTAGTGGAGTTTGGAGATGCAATCTACTCCTTAAATCTATCTTTGCTATCCTCTACCGTATTTTCCTTAGCATAAGGTAAGTTATGTGTGCCATTACTGTATTTAACACACACATAAGGCGCATTATAGGGCGCAGGTTTTATATACAGGTACATGTCCTCTACTACGTTTAAATACCTCTACTGCGTATTTAAAAATAGAGCGGGAGCAAAACTGAGTATGATTGAGCTTTATTCATGTATTTATTACAAAGTATTAATCAAACCCATCAAAGTCATCATCTGTATCTGAACGACTCCAGCTGGAAAAGTCTCTTTAGGAAAAGTCTTTTAAAAATCACCATAGGCGGCAGTTTCTGTCCATTTGCGTGGCAGCCAAGCACAACAGTAAACGACGCCTTTTCATACGCCGTTGTGTGTATCGCTACCGTGCTGGTCCCCTTCTTCTCCACCGTGTGATTCACCGGGATGTCGAAAGTGAGCGGCACCTGCGAACCATCGATTCATTAATCTTGAATTCTCTTGTTGCTGCTCGATTTCCGTGTTCCTCTGCGTAGCTGATAGCCTTCAGTTTAAACTGTGCTTCGTAGGAGTGTCTCTTTGCCATTTTCAGGGTTGCTATGACAACAATGTTCTGCATAAAGCACATACCTGTTCTTTTATACACAAGCCACGCCCACACTTCCCCCTTTTTATGCGCCTTATAGTCGCTAAAATACGGTAATTTATCCAGAAGTTCTGCAGTTGCACTTTTTCTCTCCCTCCCATATTTGGTGGTGGGCTGCAGATTTAGCCTTCCCTGGAAATACCTCGTTACAAAGCAAACATGCAGGCAATCTTTCCGCATTGATAATGAAAGCAAACGATTCGTTCCGTTTTTCTTTGAATTCCCTTTTCTCATCAGTTATCTTCCTTTTTTCCCTTTGGGATTCATGGTCTAAGACACGCCCGCCGCTTTGTTTACAGCAGCCACCTGCCTGGCGCTGCGCCGCGCTGAAACGTTCTGCAGGATATAACCACTGATCTCTGTTTACATTTATTATACAAATGTTTCCAGCATTGGAAAACCTAATTAATATTTGTTTGACCTCCTGCACACTATGTTAAAACAAACAAACAAAAAAATATTTTCATGAATTTTTTAAAAAGCTCCAGGCAGCCGCAAGGCGGCGCTAAAGAGCCGCGGGTTGCCGACCCCTGCCCCATGGCGTCTCCTTCTCTTCCTCTTCAGGTGACCGTGCTGTACTTCGCCAAGAGCGCAGAGCTGACCGGACTGAAAGAGGAGGAGCTTGTCGCTGTGCCGACACCAATCAGCAGTGGAGACCTGTGGGCTCTGTTGCTACGGAAACAGCCTAGGTACCAGCTGCTGGGACATGAGGTGACGGCTCAACATGGGACGGTTCTAACACGCGTGCTGTTGTCGTCGTACAGGCTAAAGGAACTCCAGGGCCACGTAGTCCTGGCGGTGCGCCAGCAGTACGTTGCCATCGGTGACGAGCAGGTGACTCTGGCAGACGGAGACGAGGTGGCGGTGGTGCCGCCGCTGAGTGGAGGATAAAGAGCAGACGGTGAGGGAGGAGTTAGACGGCCCCTCGGGCTCCGAATCACGACTGATCGCCGGCGTCTCTTCACAGACATGACGGAGGAACCCAGGGACGTCTTCAGGCTGAGCCGTGATTGGCTGTCGGTACAGGAAGTGGTGGACTCTGTCAGCAGCCCCTCCTGCGGAGCCGTCTCTGTGTTTCTAGGTAGAACGGGGGAGGTGAACTTGGGGGGTATTGGAGTTAGATTTGACCATATCAATACTTTTACTCGGGTACTTTAGTTGAGTACTTTGTCCGCCACTTTAAGGATCCGTTTTATTGTTTACTGATTTTATTTTGAAAAAAAAAATATTTAGAGAAGTGCTTCTTCAGCATAACCATTTCATTTTGTAAATATTTTTTTTATGTATTTTAGTCTTTAAAATAGCAGAAGTTGCACTTAAAGTCTGTCTGTCTGCATCATTATTAAACATTAGATCCGGTTTAGATCAGGTTCATATCGGGTTCAGATCGGGTTCAGATCGGGTTCAGGTCAGGTTCAGATCGGGTTCAGGTCAGGTTCAGATCGGGTTCAGATCGGGTTCAGATCGGATTCAGATCAGGTTCAGATCGGGTTCAGATCAGGTTCAGGTCAGGTTCAGATCGGGTTCAGATCGGGTTCAGAACGAGTTCAGATCGGGTTCAGATCAGATTCAGATCGGGTTCAGATCAGGTTCAGATCAGGTTCAGGTCAGGTTCAGATCGGGTTCAGGTCAGGTTCAGATCGGGTTCAGATCGGGTTCAGATCGGATTCAGATCGGGTTCAGATCAGGTTCAGATCAGGTTTAGGTCAGGTTCATATCGGATTCATATCGGGTTCAGATAAGGTTCAGATCAGGTTTAGGTCAGGTTCATATCGGGTTCATATCGGGTTCAGATAAGGTTCAGATCAGGTTTAGGTCAGGTTCATATCGGGTTCATATCGGGTTCAGATCGGGTTCAGATCAGGTTCATATCTGGTTCAGATCGGGTTCAGATCGGGTTCATATCGGGTTCATATCGGGTTCATATCGGGTTCATATCGGGTTCAGATCGGGTTCAGATCAGGTTCAGATCGGGTTCAGATCGGGTTCATATCGGGTTCAGATCAGGTTCATATCTGGTTCAGATCAGGTTCAGATCTGGTTCAGATCGGGTTCAGATCGGGTTCATATCGGGTTCAGATCAGGTTCATATCTGGTTCAGATCAGGTTCAGATCGGGTTCAGATCGAGTTCTAATCAGGTTCATATCGGGTTCAGATCGGGTTCAGATCGAGTTCTAATCAGGTTCATATCGGGTTCAGATCAGGTTCAGATCGGGTTCAGATCGGGTTCTAATCAGGTTCATATCGGGTTCAGATCGGGTTCAGATCAGGTGACCCGACTGCTTAGAGAATCCCTTCTTTCATCACCAGAGAAAGCTTGGAACAACAAAAAGGAAACGGATCAGAACCAGCAGGTCCAGCAGGGTCGGTCTGAACCGATGGCTTAGGCGTCACCTGACCCGTTTCAGGAAGTGTCCCTTCAAAACAAACCGGTGGCCACAGGTGTTCTCTGATGTCTGCAGGTACGACCCGAGAGGACCGGGTGGACGGCAGGAAGGTGATTGGTCTGGAGTACGAGGCGTACGAGCCCATGGTCCAATCAGAGTTCTCCAGGCTGTGTGCGGACATGAGGGCGCGTTGGCCCGCCCTGATGCACGTCTGCATCCACCACCGCCTGGGGTGAGGCTCCGCCCGCCGTGATGTCACCGCCTCTGCCGCAGCAACTCAACCTTCTCACTTCCTCCCTCAGGTGGGTGAAGGTGGGCGAGGCCAGCGTCGTCATGGCGATTTCGTCTCCGCACCGCCACGCCGGCCAGCAGGCCGTACAGTACTGCATCAGCCACCTGAAGGCCAGCGTCCCCATCTGGAAGAAGGTAGGAACCGAGCCGGGCTTTCTGCTGAGCCCGGAGCCTTCGATCGGTTCTGACCGGTTCTGATCCACAGGAGGTCTACGACACCCAGGAGGCCAGCTGGAAGGAGAACCCGGAATGTGACTGGTCACAGAGCGGAGCCGCTCAGAGTCCGACATGAGGAGGAACCAGAACCTTCAGCCGGGAATGACATAGGAACCAAACTGGGATCGGCCCAGTTTGATGCTGTTCTGGTTTGGACGGGTTCAGGTGTCAGAAATAAAGAGCCTTTACCTTTAAAACGGCTCCGTTTCATTTATTTTCAGGCTGGTAGAGAAATCCATCAAAAATAAGATCCAGGAATGATTGGGCCGGATCCGACCTGGAGCCGGTCCCAGGAGGCTCACTGCTCCCACGTCTACGGTCCATTTAGCCTTAGATTTTAACAACTTTTATTGTCATTTTATACATGAAGTATACAAAATGACATTTAGTTTATTTAGGGCTGGGTACCGAACTTCGGTACTTTTATGGTACCGACCGAAATGCTTCGGTTCTACAGAGTACCGAAACACGCCTCGTCTTTCGGTACCAAGTTTCGGTGATTGGCTGTAACACTTAACGTGATTGCGTCATCCAGGAAAAATACACAGGTGGTCACGCCTACAGCCAGGGTTCATGTGTATCTGTTGTGAACTGGTTGTGAGCGTCGTGGAACCCCTTTAAAATGCCCCCCAGGTCAAAAGTGCGGCTTCACTTTATTAAGACTGATGCTAATAGTGCACAATGCAATACATCGTGCACGGAGACAATTTAAGACCGGAAAGTTGCTCGGTGTTTGACTGCAAGAAGAGCGGACCGCAGCCGGCGCGACCATCCTCCTCTCAGCAGCCCGTGGGCAGAGCAAAGCCAGGGCGGAGTGAATAATGCGAGACACTATTGGAGAATGCTGCTTTCAAACTGGACGCAGCAGGAGCAGCAAAATCACGTCTGCTGCTTCTTTTTTGCTGCTTGTACCAGCTTCTGACGCGCGGCTGAAGAAGCTTTGCTGCTCTGGCTGCGCGGTCGCAAAGTGGGTCAGACGCGCGTTGGGCGGAGATACTCTATCCTTTATTTGCCTTGCAGCTATATTTGCTGTGATCAGTGGGAATAAAGTAGTTTCATTATGTTTTTAAGTGGGAAAATCCACCTGAAAACGTAATCAGTGCAGTCAGTTCATCCTGCCTTCAATATTTCTGTCGGAGCCGCTCAGACCCCCCCCATACCAGCGGTGCGCTGTCAATAGGATCCCATTCAACGGGCTTGTTTGTCAGACATGGTCATTTTTCTAAAGGAAAACTGCTAAGTAAAAAGGTCCTCACAATGTAACAGTGAATATTAGACACTGAATTTTTTTTTTATGTAAGAGGAAAAATGTAAATGGAAAAAACAGAGCTTAAAATAAAACTCAAGATTTGTACTTTTTTATGTTGTGTAATTTTCTTTTTTTTCTCGAATTGATATTATAAAACTGGTATCAAAAAAAGTATCGTTCAGGAACCGGTATCGAAGTGAAGGTATCGGTATTGGTACCGGAACCGAAAATTTTTGAACAATACCCAGCCCTAAGTTTATTACAGCTTTCAGACAGTAACTGAGCAGCAGTGAACAAATGTAAACACGGTGGGAGAAACGCATTGATATGGAAGTTCAGAGCATTATATATATTCTTTTCAAATAGCATTTTACGGATCACATTTTCTTCACTTCCTGCTCTCCTCCTTGACCAATAAAGATGTTGTTGCTGATAACATCCAGCAGACCAATAGAAATGGGCTAGGAAAAGAATGAAATTTGTCAAAATCTATAAGAAAAAACATGAAAAATCATTTTTTAAATGTTGCATTTTTCCCACCTGTTTACAAAATCTGTCCTTTGCAAGAAAAATGGAACAAGATTAGCTTCATAAAAATGGAAATGATTCAGAAAGTCCCTAAATAAACGGAGTAATAAAGTAGTAAAGCAGAAAATAGTAAAGAACAGTAGTAGAAAATAATTTAGATGCTCTAATTCTCGTAACAAAAAATAAGATGACTGTAAAACTAGATTATGTTCAGACTAAATGCGGCTGGTCAGCGATGCAAAGCAAACATCTGAACCTTTCTGGTTGGGTAAATAATCAGGACCTGGATGTGGTTGGTGATTCACCAGTCCGTCCACTTACATCACAAAAATAAAACCTAAACCTAAAGAGGTCTGCGGTGAAATGCATGTAGCGCCCCCCCGGGTGGGTCACTAAATATGCAGAACAATTGCAGATTTTTGTGTAAACATAGCTTCATGCTACACATTAAACTGGAGTTTTTAACATGAGTTTCTTCCTGTTCAAAGGGAGTTTTTCCTCTCCACTGTCCCTACAAGCATGCTTAGTGTGAGGGATTGCTGAAGAGTCAATGAGTTGATGCAATCAGCTGGTTTTCCTTAGATAGAAAACTTTGAATCAATCTGACTGGATGATCTGGTGAACTGGAAAGTTACATGATGTGAATTGGCGCTATAGAAATAAACTGAATAGAATTAAAACAGCAGATGCAGTCAGTCACAGAGTAAAGGATGAGTTTCAGCTAAACGCTCAGGATCAGTCAGCAGATCGTCTGTCCTACAGCTACTGGTGACGTGATGGTCTGGCTGCTGACTCACCTGCTGCTCATGTGTTGTGACATCATCAGCTTTGATTCTAGGGAGTTGCTGTTTCTAACAGGCGGTTTTTGTTGGATGTTGAAATGCAGCCTCTTCCAACCTCTCTGCTTCCCTTTTTTCCCTTCCTACAAGTTATTTGGTAAAATTATGTCATTCTCACTCCATCCGTTTTGTCTCCAGGTAGAAAAGCTTTTTATTTCCTGAACTATTTGTATGAAGTTCCATATATGGTCATGCCTTCCTGTGGTGAGAGGCTGAAACTAGGAAGGCCTCTTTAGTTTCAGGAAATAAATTTTTCAATGCTTGTTTGCTTAAAAACCACTAAGAAGAAAAATATGATTTATTTCTGTTTCATAGTTTTAAGATTTTATTTAATCAAAAAATTGTATTTATATCAGGAGACAGGAACCAGAGGACAGAACTATTGTAGACTGGTTAGAGACCAGTCTGATGGATCTCCAGCTCCAGTAGCCATCATGTTGGATCCAGTTAAAGTTCTGATGGTGCTGCTGTGTTGCAGAGCGATGCAGAAAGCGTGTTAATCACAGCATTCAGAGAGATGAAATTAGAGGGAATCCAGTGACTCCATGAAGTGTCCTGCTTCAGCTTCCATAGAATCCACTGATTCTATGACAGAAAACGGTTCGCCTTTGTTTGCTGATTATTAACCGGAAGAAAACTGACCTCTGATCAGATCGTTTCCAATACAAGCCGGTGCTGCTTCAGGAAGACGGAAAGGATGATGTCATCCTGACCAGCCATGTAACGTCACGCATGTGTAACACAGTTATTACAGGGTTATTTTTCCACGGCTCCTCCTGTTGATTTAAGGTTTAACATCAGAACTCGGGTCCAAATTCTCAGTCTTTTGGTCTTCATGCAATGAAAGTTGGTTATCAGTTAACCTTTTATAGGGCAAGGTACCGTTTCTCATGACTTGCATATCCCTTACAAATGGAAAGATCCTGCTGCATGGCCGTACATCTTATTTTTGCATTTGACCAATTAGATGAGCTCTTGAATGATATATTACCTACACTGGAAAAATTAATTAGAAACAAGTAAAAAACTTCTTAAATTAAGTGTATTTACCCTTAATTTGAGCAGGTAAATGAGATAGTTTAACATGGAATGAGTATTTTACTCTTAAAATAAGATGGACTTGAAATAAGACAATGCAATTGTGTTTTCTTATTTTAAATCTAAATTGTCTTGATCCAAAATGACTCTTTTATCTTCTTATTTTAACAAAAAATTACTTATCTAGATTTCTATTTTTTCCAGTCTACTGTAAATTAAGTTGGGGAAAAAGGGTAAGTGAAGAAAAAAAGGCAAAAAGTTAAAAAGTAAAGTAAATAAGCCTAGTTAACAATTATATTTAGGTTTATAAACTAAAAAATGTCAGTGCCAGTATCAGCATTAATGCCTCTAAGGTTATGTTGGACCAAGAAAAATGTGTTTCTTTCACTCTGAGTGTTTTTCATTAAATTCTTATAGAAACACTTTTTTTATTTTTTTTTTATATATATTCGGGGAAGTTCTTGTTGTTACAATGACACTGATTTTTGCCATAAAAATATCCAGATTTTTTTATGTTACAAAGGTAATAAGTATTGTCCTGGATTCCAATAACATTATTGGATTGAAATTTTGATTTATTGAAGTATTTCACTGAGTGCCCTATGAAGGGTTAAAAGGTTAAATCAACCCAGTGTTGTCCCAGTATGACCTTTTTACACTGGAAAAAAACTATAAGTAAAAACCTCTTCAAATAAGTGTGTTTACCCTTAATTTGAGTTGTTAAATAAGATGATTTGCCAATTTTATGAGTATTTTCACTCTTAAAATAAGATTATTAGATACTTGAGATAAAACAATGCAATTGTTTTCTTTTATTTAAAATATAAATTGTCTTGTCCAATTGGCAAATTTCTCACTTTCCTCCTCAATTAAAGAAAAAAATCACTTATATTAAGAAAAAGGACTTATTTAGATTTTATTTTTGCAGAGTAGGGGGAGAACCTGACCTGGGCTCCAGCAGGTTCACCTCTAACTGGCTGCAGGTGTTTGTCTGGGTCAGAAAGGTCTGAATGTGGGCCGGGGAGTCGAGAGTCGAGTCTGATCTGAGCTCCAGCATGTGTTTGATGGAAACAAACAGTTTCAGGTGTTGAAACACTTGTTACCTGTCTGAGCTTGATTAACTTTATGTGACTCACCTGGTGATGCAACCTGTTTCCATGCTGCCTTCAGGGCCTTCAGGTAAACACAATCACCTGTCGGCCTTAATGGGAAGCCTGTTTACTTAGGAAAAGGTAAACGTGACTCAATGGGAGGAGTGTTCCAGGTTCCTGTGGATGTCAGTCTTCCCCTGGGCAAGGCACTAAATCCAAAGCTACCCACTGGTGGGTTTATGTGGAAATCAGACAGTAAAAGCTCTATATATTGAGAATAGAGCATGTATATTTGGAACTTTAAGAATTGTTATTTCAATAAGTTTCAGTTTTACTGGTATTTTTAAGGAAAGTTTTGGTTGTGTTTGTTCTCTGCCATATTTTCTGTCTGCTCCACATATAATCACTTTTTTCACTTTTAAATATTTACATTATTGATGATAAATATTCTGATTATTTTTGGTAGAATTTGTTGTAAAATGTTTGTTTCATTTACTCATTTTATAGTGGATCTACACTAAAGTAAAATATTCGAATAAAACCAAATAGTTGATGAAAATTTTTTTTTTTAAACATTTATTTTGAAAGGGAAAAAGACGGAAACGCCCTCTTGATATCCGGTAGGCTCCACCGTCTGTTCCTTCCCCTTCCTCATTGGTCAGCTGACCGTTGGTCGGTCTGCTGACAGTCAGACAACAGAAAGCAGCTCTGCGAGCCGGAACCAGAACCTCCAAAACCTCCGGGCCCATCGGACTCGCGGCCTGAGGAATCCCGGCTGGAGGAACGTCGAACCCCGGACTGGTTCCTGAACCCTTTCCCCCGGCAGGAGGCCTGGTCTCTGGCCTGAACACACCCGCCTCTTCCCTCCGTTGTTTCCGCTGTGAGGCCGGTCAGCTGGTCCCTGTCCGAGCGGAGCTTTAGCTTGACCCGAGGCGGCCTGCCCCCAGCCCCGCTTCGCCCCCTCCGGAGCAGCATGGCCCCGCTGGATGTGGCCCTGCAGGGCTTCTCGGTGTTCGGCCTGGTTCTGTTCGTGGTGCTGTGGCTCATGCACTTCATGTCCATCATCTATGTGTGAGTGACCGACCGACCGACCCAAGCTAACGGCTAACAGCTGCGGACGGACCGGTTAGCCGACCAGGCTACTGCAGTCCGAACCGGGTTAGGTTCTAACCTTCAGACTCCGGGTCACTTATCCCGCTGAATGGTGGCCCGGTTCCGGTTCTGTTGGTCAGCCCAGCGGCTGCTGGGACTTTTATAGCCGAATTTAGAGCAGTTTGTTCCGGTTTAATCTGCCTCCTTTCAGTAGCTTTAATTTATTGACTTTTAACGAATCTCGTTAAATCAAAATATTTAATGATCGGATTAGGACGTCATTATGCCGGGGTTAATAATCAAATCAGCAGAGCAGGAGATGTTCTGGTCTTGGTCCTGGGTTCAGACCTGGAGATGTTCTGGGTTCAGATCTGGAGATGTTCTGGTGTTGGTTCTGGATTCAGATCTGGAGATGTTCTGGGTTCAGTTCAGGAGATGTTCTGGATTCAGATCTGGAGATGTTCTGGTCTTGGTTCTGAGTTCAGATCTGGAGATGTTCTGGTGTTAGTTCTTGGTTCAGATCTGGAGATGTTCTGGGTTCAGATCTGGAGATGTTCTGGATTCAGATCTGGAGATGTTCTGGTCTTGGTTCTGAGTTCAGATCTGGAGATGTTCTGGTGTTAGTTCTTGGTTCAGATCTGGAGATGTTCTGGGTTCAGATCTGGAGATGTTCTGGATTCAGATCTGGAGATGTTCTGGTCTTGGTTCTGAGTTCAGATCTGGAGATGTTCTGGTGTTAGTTCTTGGTTCAGATCTGGAGATGTTCTGGGTTCAGATCTGGAGATGTTCTGGATTCAGATCTGGAGATGTTCTGGGTTCAGATCTGGAGATGTTCTGGATTCAGATCTGGAGATGTTCTGGTCTTGGTTCTGAGTTCAGATCTGGAGATGTTCTGGTGTTAGTTCTTGGTTCAGATCTGGAGATGTTCTGGGTTCAGATCTGGAGATGTTCTGGATTCAGATCTGGAGATGTTCTGGGTTCAGATCTGGAGATGTTCTGGATTCAGATCTGGAGATGTTCTGGTCTTGGTTCTGAGTTCAGATCTGGAGATGTTCTGGTGTTAGTTCTTGGTTCAGATCTGGAGATGTTCTGGGTTCAGATCTGGAGATGTTCTGGTGTTAGTTCTGAGATGGCGGCTGGTCTAACTGGTCTATGATGGTTTCCTGAGCAGAGCTCGTGAGGCTGAAGGTCTCGTGATGTCCTGCTGCTCTTTAATCCCACAAAGAGCTGCTCTTTCTCCAGATTCCAGCCCTCATCATCATCATCATCATCATCATCATCATCAGGAGCTTTAAGCAGATTAAGGCCCTCAGACCTGCGAGGGTCTCATGACTGCAGCAGGAGGTGAAGCATTCCTGGGAATCCTGAAGAGTCATTCCCAGGAGATCAGAACCCTTCATCCTGCTGGGATGGAGGGAGCTGTAGGAGCCAAACCCCCCCCCACCCCCCAACCCCGCCCTCCTCCTCCTCTCTAACATGGGGGGTCATATTTATACGCCTGGTTGATATCTGGACCTTGTTTGTCCTGTTTGACTCTATTCGCAGGCTGTTGGTCGGGTTTGGTTGTTTTTAGAAATGCAAGTGATTGACGATTTCATCTAAAGTTGACTGTTTTTTATCTGCTGATTAACAATTAATTATTTTGCAGAAATATGAAAAATATATATTAGTTTCTCTGGTATCAAGGGGATCTTTCCATACAATGAAGGGATAATGTTTTGAATTTAAATAGTGCATCATTTTATTGTTCCAACTGTATCCATTATAAGTTTTTCCTTTTTTTTTTATTTTGTGGGTAGCACTGCTGCCTTGCATCAAGAAGGTTTGGGGTTCGATTCCCGGCCCGGGGTCTAGGGGGATGAGTGTGACTGAAGATGGATGATATTTTTATCTTTAATGGCATCTCAGGGTTTCCAAGGGTCATTAAAAGTCCTTAAGTTATTATTTTTTTTTAAATTGGCATTAAAATTAATTAAATGTGATTATCCTGGCATTTAAAATGCTTTATTTAGGGGGAAAAAAGTTTCTAAAAACAGTTTAGTCAGATATAGAATATCAGATGTAACTGGTTGTGTGTGTTTGCATGGAACTGCTTCCGGGTTGATCGTAAAGCTTTATGTTCGGAAAAAAAGGTTGAGGCGGAGAAAAGGCAAGAGAATGAGAAAATGCAAATGTTAACGAAAGTGGCTGGAAAACCAGGAATTAGAGTCACTGCTTCCTGTATAAACTCTGCTTGCTTTAACTCTTTTTACTATAAGCTGCTGGAACCAGAATTTCCCTGAAGGAGTAATCCCAAAGTTGAGTCAACGTCTAAGTATAAAATACTCACTGAATATATATTTAACATTTTAAACAGGAACCTGAATAAAATGATTGAAACACGTGTGATTTCCAGTGAGTGAAGATGTAGAGCTATCATTAACAGACAGGGTCTGTCGCTCTGAGATGCTGTCAGGCTATTGGTTGTGATGTAGCTCTCTGCTTCTACTGAGACTTCCTGCTGTTAGCAGAGCTTTGGTTCATCCAGTATTATTGAAAGCAACAAACGCATTTCAAATAAAAAATCTCAATAAAATAACATATTTGAGATTGATTGATCAATTGATTGATTTTATTCGTTTCACAGTGGAGAAATTTACTCGTTTCATCAGCTCAAATATTTAAAGAAGAAGAAGAAGAAGGTGCCAAAGCAAGAAAAAGTTGCATGAGATACATACAGTGCAGCATATATAGTAAAAAAAAAAATGTTATTGTAGTATTATTATACAGGGTTATTGCAATGGGTGTTTGCATGGGTATAGTTATATATATATATATATATATATATATATATATATAACAATTATGAAATTAATGAAAAAATCCCCCAAAAAATAATGGATTGTAATTATTTTAAATGATCCGCGGAAACCCTGGATCATTTCCGCATGTTTTGCTGCTTTGAATTTAATCATCTGGTGCATGCTCTCTACGATCTCCAAGGAACTCAGAGCGGAGCGGACGGGAGCCACAGTGGAGGCTGTAGGCTTTGCTTTCAGCAGCCGGTCTGGAGCGCAGCGGGGCGGATGGAGTATGAGGGATTTCGGGGTTAGCATGACATGTTGCTGTTAGCATAAACAAAACGTGTTGCACAATGCTTGCACACTGTTGCACTTTTATCCACAGCTTTCTTCCCGCCGTCATCGTAGGTCACTCTAAATGCAAAGTGGTCCCATACAGCAGACCTATAAAGTGCTGTTGGCGCGTCTTCCAACTCCTGTTCTTTCCCACTCGCCATACCCACACAATTCTCCACAACAACTGATTTTTTTCTGCTACACCCGGCTAAGCTGCTTCGCTTCTTCTTCTTCTTGTTTACTACTGGTGGTTGGCTTTGGTCGCAGTATCGCCACCTTCTGCTCTGGAGTGTAAACGCTTCCTCTATGAGAAAAAGGAGCAGCGCATGAACCGAACGCAACACACGCGAACCGAACCGAGACAGTCGAACCCAATGGTTCGGACGGTTTTCATAAACCGTCCCATCCCTAATATACATATAATATAGTTATTGCACTGGGTGTCAGATATAGAGAAAAAGGCTATTGCACAGGATATCAAATGGTAAATTGCACAAATTATTGTCTTTGTAGTGTTGCATATGAGAGTCATTTATAAGGTTTATTTTTGCGTTTTACTCCTTTTTATATAATTATTTTTGGGTGGTCTGTCTATGGACCAATAGGATCGCTGTTGCTAACATCCCTGCAGATACAACTCCTTCCTATTGGTCTGCTCACAGCGCAACCGGAAGGTGTGGAGGATAAAATCTGTAAATCAAAATTTGAAAAGATCGCAATTCAGTCTTGCCTAAAATAAAAAAAAAATATCTGGCAAAAAAAAAACAAAAAAAACATGAACAAATAAATGTGAGAAAATAAATTGTTAACGCATACTGTAAAAATATTGGTTGGATTTTTGCAAACACATAATAATTTAGTCTCAGAAAAAGTGTTTTGTTCCATTTTTGAAAAACATTTTCTTTTTTTCCTTAAAACGTTTTAAAATGTTGCTCCGTAGTCTGACCCCAGCGAGGCGTGCAGGTTATGTTGGCTCTGTTGCTAACGGTGATGGCTGTCACATGATCCTACCCGTCTGATCCCATGTTTGATGCTTCGTCTAATGAAGGGTTTCAGACTCTAAATGTGATGAATAGCAATAGAAACAATAAATATTATTTATTTTAACAGCGCTGCAGTCCAGTCCTGGAGGGCATCAAGAAGATTCAATTCTATTCAGTTTATTTCTATAGCACCAATTCACATCATGTCATCTCAGGTCACTTTCCAGTTCACCAGATCATCCAGTCAGATTGATTCAAAGTTTTCTAAGGAAAACCAGCTGATTGCATCGACTCATTGACTCTTCAGCAATCCCTCACACTAAGCATGCTTGTAGCGACAGTGGAGAGGAAAAACTCCCTTTGAACAGGAAGAAACCTCCAGCAGAACCAGGCTCAGTGTGAGCGGTCCAGATCCAGTTTAACGTGGAAACCTGAGCGGCACACCTGTTTTATTTTCAACTGTTATTAATTATTATTCCCAGTAAAGTAAAAATGTAGATTTCACTTCAATTTTTGCTCAATTTGAGATATAAAAAGTTGGATTAAAACCCAGTGAAGGATGCATGGCGGTCTAAGCTCCATTATGATCATGACGTTTTTAACGTGTAAAGTTTCCCATCAAGAATAGAAAAAAACCCCAAAAAACTGGTTCATAAATTCTTTGTTTCCAAGCTTAAGCCTGTTTCTCGCTGAAAATAGCTCGTTACCGCGGGTTTTTCAAACATGGGTCGACCTGCTAACAATCGGCAAAATTAGCTCCTTTCCCAGTGTGGCAGACAAAGCCGGTCTAACCCCTGGCAGCTGCCTGGCCTCTGTCCCCCGCCGCTGCGTGTCTGGTGACATCATCACGCTGCATTAGCTTTTATGATGTCACCAGTGCGACAGAAATCAGGAAAGTAAACAATGGAGAGTTAACATGGAATGAACTCAGCGTAGTCAGTGTGTTTTTATCTGTCTTAATCTCTCTGTATTTTCCCCCATGCACCTTTTCTTTCTTTGGCATCTTCTTCTTTTTGACTATTTGAGCTGATGGGACAAGTTAATTTTTCCAAAGCGAGATTAATCTGTCAATTACCAGAGCTGCTCCATGTTTATCGAATGTAAACAGAGTCGTTTCGGCTTGTTAGATCAGAAGCGGTGTGGTGCCGTCCGTATGATGTGCTCAAGGGTATCACATAGACTGGCAGGTCAAACCGGCTCAGATCAGAGCCGAGGCGACTTTAACCCGGGTGAGTTGTTTGACCCGGGTAGAGACGCCACAGTAAGCTGTTCCCACTGCCACTGAAATCCGATTGTTCCCGGGTTTAAACAGGTTTTTCGTCCAGTGGGAAAGAGGTAATAGACTGAGGCAGTGTCCGGACTCCCACCCTAACCCCTAAATGCCTAAATCGCTGTATAGAGCAGGGACTATATAGTGCATTTTATAGTGAATTCAGTTAACTGACCATCAGGACAGATGATCGCTACTTTCTGCTACCCGCTGGTCACGTAACTCCACCTCCCTGCACGGTTCCTGTGCCATCTTTATCAGTCGCCACTGTCACAACAAATCCCATGATTTGAAGTCCATCCTGGCATATTTATGCTCATCTAGTGACCATGGATTCAAGGGCGTAGGTTTGATTTCCAGTTTGGTCCCAAGTTTCATTAATGTAATTTTACCCATGCAAAAATATGCATGCTTTTTTATGCTTGACGTGAGCATCAGGGTTTATTTCGTTTAAAGAGAACGGCAGCATTTCTTGCTACATTTATACAAATTTTATTAGCACTAGACTCACTAGATGTTGTTTATCAATGTTTGAAGCGTCATCAGCTCTGATTAATGTGGAATTAGGACTTTTTCCCACTTTGAAAAGGTTTGCATTTAAACTTACCAGCGACTAAGAAAGTAGGTAAATGTGCCAATTTAACCAAATATAGTAAATATGCCCATTATATGTGGATTTATCCTGTATTTTCTTTTAAAGATGTAGAATTTTGCAAAGGTAAACAGGTGAAACACTCTTATTTTTTTTTTAAATGCTCTCTCTGTATCATGAAACAGTGCAAAATAACACATTCAAGGGACGCAAATACATTTATTCTATTTACATTTAGTGGCATCATCTACAAAACACAACACTAAGAATGAGACTAAATTTATTCCAATATAAAATCACTTTTAACAATTATTAAAAAAAAATATAACACCATTGTGTCTGTAATGTAATAATATTCAAAATAAACATTTTACCAATGTTTGTACTAATTAACTTATGGACGTGTGGAAATCTATGTGAAATAAAATCAATGTAAATAGTGTTCCTCTGTTCGTTATTGGCTTTATCCCATTTTTAAAAGTAGAAATAGTCAAAGAAATATCAATATTATGTGGAACCGTAATTATGCTTTCTAAACAAAAAATAGCAGACGTTTAGGCGCCATCTCGTGTCGTTATACTCTATAAAAGAAATAACACCTTCTATTTATAACTGAACTGCCTCAAAGTGACATCATAAAATGAAAACAGTAACTGGAATGAATTATTGTTAAAAGGGAAACTCACATTTTCTTTTTCAGTTTACTGTGGCTAAGAATCAGCAATCAGCAGCTTTCGCCTGTGTTAGTCTAGATAGAATTAAGTTTTTGTTCATTAGGACTAGTTTCATAGCCTAATGTTATTTGAAGTAACTGGCGTGAATAAAATTCTTATTTCCCCCTCCAAGCACACGCATACGGACTAGAAAACAGCCAATCAGGAAGAGAGAAGGCGGAATTTGAGGCAGAACAACCAATGAGAGTGGAGCTAAACAGCCCAGTTACTGACTTTAAGGGACGGGAAAGACCGGGCAGCAGGACGGAGCGGCAGATCCGGAGAGAAAAAGAATTGGCTGTGATCTCACACAGTGATCCAACACGCTCAATTGTAAATTATAAACATGTTATATAAACATTATTCAAACCGAATTATTTGTAGGGACAAATGGGTTGGTCCAAAATTTTGGTGGGGACATTTCCCTATGGTCCCTATGCAAACCTACGTCCATGCATGGATTATTCCTACTTCCAAAGGTGCATTGTAGGAAACTTTGCATCCACTAGACAGTTGGACTCATTTAAAATGGCAGAACCACTATCCAGTGCCCTTTGTATTAATTAGGGTAGGTCAGGGGTCACCAACCATTTCAAGGCTGAGGGCTACTTCATGGCTATTGAATCATAGGAAAGGCTACCAACACTGACCTATGAACAAGAGGGGTCAGCGTTCACCTAAACTTCAACCAAATTAAACACATTTTTATTGTTAACTTTTCATTTCTAATTTTCCTTTAAACATTATAATTTTAAAATCTCTATAAATGCTAAAATGCCCTATATGATTACTGTGATGAAATGCTCTATAAATGATTAAAAAGAAGAGTCACAGAATAAAATAAAATTCAAAACTTAGCCCACTGCTGAGTTGCTGTTTTCAGACGGCGTTGAGGGTTGAGGGCCCCCCATGTGGTCCTTTAGGGCCCCTTGGTGCCCCCTGGGGTAGGTGTTCAGACACAGCCCCAGTCTTTAGAATGAAAGTTGATGTTTCTTGCTGACTTGAACGCCTCACGTCTCCAGCACTCTGAAATCCAGCTGGTCCAGGGAGCCTGAACGCACCGCTCAACAGCTAGAGACGAGTATCAGTGAGGGATGAGAGGCAGCCATTAAAACAGCTGAATGATTTAGGTTTTGATTGTTGTCTTTTTCGGTGCTTTCAGCTGATCCATCAGAAGGGTCTGAATGTTCACACAGACTGAACCTGTTCTGCAGATTTAAAGAGCCTCTAATTTGGGCTGATGGGAACCTTCTGGGCTCATCATCTCCTGCTGTAGCTCCCCAGGCCGGTCAGATCAGAAGCGGACCTTTTATCCGCCAGCGAGGCTTCCACTCAACCGCCAGTGGCTTTAGCCAAACATGGATGCCGCCTGCGGCCTTTAACCGGTTGCTGACCTTTGACCTCTGCGTTTCAGGCGTCTCTGCCTCCATAAGAAGAGATCTGAGGCCAAGCAGCCGTTCGCTCAGGTCCTCGGAGTTTCTCTGCTGAAGCCGCTGAAGGGCGTCGACCCAAACCTGATCTCCAACCTGGAGACCTTCTTCACTCTGGACTACCCCAAGGTGAGCAGAACCGACCCTGCCGCCCCGCCGCACACACCACCCGATCCGGTTCTAACTGGTTCTGTCTGTGTTCCAGTATGAGATCCTGCTGTGCGTCCAGGACCAGGACGATCCGGCTGTGGACGTCTGTAAGAAGCTGTTGGGGAAATATCCCAACGTGGACGCTGGACTCTTCATCGGTGAGTGGGGCGAAGCGTCACTTCCTGTTTCCTGCCTTGTCTCCGCCCCCCAGCCTCACGCCACCCTCCTGTTCTTCTTCAGGTGGGAAGAAGGTCGGAATCAACCCGAAGATCAACAACCTGATGCCCGGATATGAAGCCGCCAAATACGGGCTGGTGTGGATCTGTGACAGCGGCATCAGAGGTCAGAACCAGAACCGGGTCAGCTTGACGCTGATGCTAAACTCTGAGCAGAACCTGGCTTCAGTAGGACTGGATCATAGGGCTGCCTGGGTCCATTCTGGCCGGTTCTGTTCGCTCAGATGGAGGATTTGGGTTTTTATACCAGAATCAGCTGTTGGTTCTGGTAGAACCTGCCCTCAGCTTCACTCCCTCTCTCAGGCCCCGCCCCCCAGTGGGAGGTTCTGACCCTGTTCTGTTCCACAGTGAAACCCGACACCCTGGCGGATCTGACCAACCAGATGACGGAGAAGGTGGGTCTGGTCCACGGCCTGCCGTACGTTGCCGACCGCCAAGGCTTCGCCGCCACTCTGGAGCAGGTGAGGTCAGGTTCTGTGGGCTGAACGTGGGCGGGGCTTCCTGCTAACGCGGCTCACCTGTGTGCAGGTGTACTTCGGGACGTCCCACCCCCGCTCTTACATCTCGGCCAACGTTACGGGGATCAAATGCGTGACGGGGATGTCGTGTCTGATGAGGAAGGACGTCCTGGACCAGGCGGGGGGGCTGGTGGCCTTCGCTCAGTACATCGCTGAGGACTACTTCATGGCCAAGGCTATCGCAGACAGGTTAGCATTAGCATTAGCACGCCGCAGACCGCTTTCTTCCTCGGTCATGACACGTTTCTTCTTTCCTTCCCAGAGGATGGAAGTTCTCCATGGCAACACAGGTGGCGCTGCAGAACTCGGGCTCCTACTCCATTGGACAGTTCCAGTCCCGGATGATCAGGTGAGCCGCAGACCGCCGCTTCGTCGGCCACCTGTTCAGGACGACGCATTAATAAGATTTGTTGAAACAGGTGGACCAAGCTGCGGATCAACATGGTTCCCGCCACCGTCCTGGAACCCGTGTCAGAGTGCTTCTTGGCCAGCCTCATCATCGGCTGGGCGGCGCATCATGTGTTCAGGTACGGAAGGCCGTTTTATCCTAAAATCAGGTTCTATTTCATTCCAGATATCTTCAATAAAGGACTTAGTTAACGAATTGTTAAAAATAATGTGAAAATGTGGCGTCGTCTAATAATCGCCGTCTAACCGACGATATAGGCTGACAGTCGTCTGGGGTCACGACACGAACGCAACAGCAGAGGGCGCCAGTGACCTCACTGTGCCTGGGGTCATCTTTCTATTAAAACAGAGAAGAAGTGACAATAATGCAACAAAAGGAGAGTCTCTGCTCAGAATGGAGGCGTTCAAAAGTCAGATAAATTTGAGGCGGAGCTATGATGCCAATCATAAATGAATGGTGGTCAACGCAGCGGAGGAATCCTGTCAGACAGCAAAAAAATATGGCGTTACGGAGTGTAATGTCAGAATATGGCACGTTCATAAAGCCCAAAAAAACACGAAGAGCAAAAGAAAACGTATCCAAATATAGCCGAGCTGCGGGTCGAGGGTCGGAGTGACGGCGAGGAAGAGGACGTCTCTGAGGAAAAACCTGATGCAGGTTTTTGAGACGTTCCGTGAGCAAAGTTCAGATTGCATTCGAGTTGAAGTGTTGCATCATTTCTATTAAATTTGTCATTACTGTGTCTTTTTACTTTTTATAGTTTAATTGCACAAATCTTTCAATGCAATATTAATATATGTGAAATTATAAACACTTCAATATAAAATTGTTTCTTAAAATAGTCTTTTTGGTCTTTTTTTGGTCCTAAATACTCGTCGTCTTATAATCAGGTTTATCCCATATTCAGGTCAGTACAGTAATTAAGATATCTGTAGTTATATTTAGACCAATTTCAGATATCTTTAATTCAATTCTGACTAATCTAAACGACGACAGATTTATCTTTTATTTGAAATGTGTCTACAGTTTAAGATCCTTCCAGAACATCACTGACTGTCTGAAAGGTAAATTTCAGATATCAACAGTTAAATTATGACTAGAGTTGCAAAGGACATTTGAGATATCTTTCTTTCGTTTTGACAAGTCATAAATCAATTTATCGAAAATATCTGATGTGTTCTAAGATATCTGAAAGCAGGATTTAACTAGTGGTAGTTAAATTGCAGATAATAGCAAATGATTATACAAATCTATGTTATACAGATCTAGAATTGCATTATTGGCGACTTAAAATTCCTTTGAAGATATCTCAAGAAGAATAGAACAGAAAAGAAAATCCATTTATTGTCCCAAAATAGGGGAATTCTGATGTTTACAGCAGCAAAAAGATTATAGAAAAAATGGTCACATAAATGTGGACCTTAGAATACTGTATAAGAATAACATCATAGTGAGGAATTTAAAAACAAATAAATAAAATCCTGCACTGTAAAGTTTTTTTAACAAATTAAAAACTTCATTGAGGTTGTTGGGAACAGTGGTGGTTCTAGAGTCTTCCAGCTGCTGGGAGAAAGGATCTGTGATAACGCTCCCTGGTGCATTTAAGGTGCAGCAGTCTGTCACTGAAGGAGCTGTCCAGTTCAGCACCAGCTTCGTTCATGGGGGGGGGGAGACATTGTCCAAAAATTAGAGATATCTTCAACATTTTTTTATTTATTTATTTTAATTCAGATATTCTGAGTTATCTTTCTGACAAGTTGAAACGTAGCAGAAAGTTTCCAAGACATCGTAGCCTTTCTGGTGCAGTGTGTACAGTGTGCCATGAACGAGCAGATTTAGATAATGAATTAATTATTTCAGAAGAGGAGCCAATGCCTCTCCCAATATGGCGGCGGCAGTGATCCGCTGGTCCCTCTGAGCCTAGGGGTCGTTTTACATGAAACAGGATCAGTGAATCACACAGCATCTGTGGGCAGAGCTTAAACTGCTGTTAGCAGCTGAGCAACAGGAAGTAAAACCTCGCAGTTTCCAGGAATGATTCAGGATCTTTGGTCAGAAAGTCAAAGATTGGGCCGAAACTAAACTAAAAGAATAAAAGCTGAAATTGGAATTCTCAAGAAAATGTTAAACTCCTCATGAGTTACTGCAACATTTAGTTTCCCTTAGGGATTAGTATGTTTCAATAAAACTGTGTTGAATATTTCAGATTTAGACTCTAGACCCCCACCCCCCCACCCCCAACTGCCCAAAGCAACAACATCGCGGTTACCAAGACAACCACAGGGGAGAGAGAGTACGAGAGCTGAGGCAGAATTAATTGGCTAATTGGGTGTTTGCTAAAAAGGAAATATTATCACAGATTACATCATGAAATCATTTGGAATAACATCAGAGATAATTTCAGCTTTATGGAAAACTTTCCAGAGTGATTGTTTCCAGCGGAGGTTTGAAGTTTGACTCCTCAGGCTGGTTGAGCCGACAGGATTCACAGATAAGAAACTTTGATATCAGTTTGTTATGTTCTTATGATGTTTCCTAATCTCTGAAAATGATAAGATTAAATATTATCAAGATGCTTTGTTCAGGACTTCATGTTCATTAGATTTATTTAAAGCACAGATTACAAAATGAAGGAGACAAATCTGGAGCTTTACTTCTTTTTATGTTTGATGATATTTAGATTAATGGACTGAACTCCTTAAACATTACCAGTTTAACAGGACAGTCTATAAATAAATAATATATGACTAACAATAATAACATCAACTGATCTGTAGCCAGTGGCGTCACATTTACTAAAGGAAAGGCAGAGAATCTAACTCTGAAATGAACACAAAATAAACGAGTGTGTTAAGTTTTTAAATCCTTTTTGAACAATTATGTAAATGATATATTCACTCAGTGTTGGTGAATATAAAGCACTGTTATGCTGCGTTCAGCTAGCAAGCAGGAGAAGCAGCAAAAACACGTGCGTTGCTTCATTTCTGATGCTCGTCAGGGTTCCCGCAGGTCCTTAAAAAGTCTTAAAAGGCATTGAATTCTTTAAAATAAAACTAAGGCCTTAATTGGTATTAAAATGAACAAAAAAGTCCTCCTGAAAACATGGTCTGTGCAGTCAGTTCATCCAGATTACCATCCTGCCTTCAAAGATTATTTCTCTGTGGGAGCCGCTCAGACCCCCACATACCGGCGCTGCGCTGTCACTGGGAATCCCCAGCAGCAGCTGCCTCAGGCCCGCTCGCCTCTTGGGGGTTTTCCCCTCCTGTTGGTGGCGGCTGGAAGTAGATGTTAGCGTTTTTCAGGTCTGTGCTACAAACTGAACATGTTTTTTCCCGCAGGTTTCTTCATTTGAAGTTAATTTAGGCGTTAATAAACTGTTTCAGAGGAGTGATCATAGCGCTCTGCATCAGCAGTGCTGCGTCTGACTCCCTGCCAGCTTCGTTGATGAGGCGCGTCTTTGCCTAGGGCTCTGAATTTCCTAAATCCGCCCCTGGTTATATATATCTATTTGACCCCTTTAGCTCAAAGTCTTCAAAAGATCCGCAGTTAATTATGCTTCTCTGAGCTTTCTTACTAAAGGTGGAGCTTTACGTGTCATTGTTAGTGGGATAAATTCTCTGTTCACCAGAAGGCTGCGACATGGGGGACATTTTCTATTTATAAGGTCACGCTCGTGCTGTTTCCCTGTAATCGGATCACACAGAGAGGTGTCTAGTTTCACTTTGCGTTCAAAGGATCATTCATTGCTCCCCGTCTCATTTTCCTGCTCCGAAATGGGAAAAGGAGCTTTTTTTCACTTTGCTTCATCTACACGAAAAACATTAGTAACAAACTGAATTCATAACATGAGAGAGGCCTTAATTGGCATTAAAATCAATTGATTGAGTGATTATTGTGGCATTTAAAATGCTTTATTTAAAAAAATAAAAAGATTATAAAAACAATTTCGTCAGATTTATTATATCGCAATTTATTTGCGTGGAACTGCTTCCGGTTGATCGTTAAGCCGTATGTTCAGAAAAAACGCTAGAGAATGGAGAAATGCTAATTTAATAAATTAAAGGGTCATTTTAGATAAAAATAAGACAAACAAAATGTTGTTCACTTCAGAAAGTGTCTTTTTTTTTTCCAAAAAAACCAACAGTGTGTTCAAAGTGGTTTTTTTTTATGTTATTATGTGTACAGCATTAATTCAATATGAAGAACGTTGCCACCTATCACAATGATTCCAACCCGTCACAGGCTTTAGTGTGACGGGTTGGAAAATCTAAAGCAAGATGGCTCAATTTCTGGATATGTTAAAACCCGATGGTGCCGTTAGCGTTGAAGTACAATGAAAAATGAATGATTAATACAAATATAATTTCAAAATTTGATGAACAAATTGTTTTCCCCACTTTTTGTGTGTGACGGGGTGGAGATGCTACGGTTAACAGAAAGGATTTTGAAGGAAAAATGTACCAAAAATGTTCTCAAAAAAAAAAACAGAACTCACCATTGTTTGGACTTCTCTTCTTTAAACTCTTGAATGATGTCACTTCATGTTAGTGATGTCACTTCATGTTAGTGATGTCACTTCTAGGAAGTGTATTGCATTTTGGCGCAAAATAACATTGGTGTGACGGGGGTGGAATATGAAATTGATGGACATAGAAAAATCATGCTATTTCAATAAAAAAATATGACATTTTAATATAATGAACGCATTTCCTATTAAGAGGAAAGTATTTCTAACCATAACAATAAAATTTTTTTTGAGATTTATTTCATATTTCTTAAGTTTCACATTACACGAATGAGAAAAATGGTCAGAGCGGACATGAGAAAATTATTGCAGTTTAACATAAAAAGTTATAAATGTGCAAAATATATATTTATTATTCAATTTAATTTGACCTCATGCTACAAAATAAACTTGAATCAATGGCTTTAGACACTTAAAGTATTACTGACAGTTTTATTATGCTTCCTATTCCTCTTTGAATGTTATGGACCCAAACTTAACAATTTTCATGGAATGACCCATATTTATATTTATATATATATATATAAAAACAGATGTGTATAATGATGCGGAGCTCTGATGTTTTTTTTTTATATCAAATGTCTAAGAGGACTTGGTCTCCGTCTGTGTCGCTTTCTCCTCCTTTCTTCCAAAATGCCTGACCGTATGTGACAGATGGCGTGAAAAAGGGCGCATTTCCAAGTTGCCAAGTTTGTTTTTATGAGACCCAACCTGACTGGTTTCTGTTTCAGGTGGGACATGATGGTCTTCTTCATGTGTCACTGCTTGGCCTGGTTCATCGCCGACTACATCCAGCTCACTGGAGTCCAGGTAGGTCACATGACCGTCTGCACTTTAACAGATGGAAAGTTCTCAGACTGAACCGGTTCTGGTCGCCTGCAGGGCGGTCCTCTGAGCTTCTCCAAGCTGGACTTCGCTGTGGCCTGGTTCATCCGAGAGTCCATGGCCGTGCAGATCTTCCTGTCGGCTCTGTGGGACCCCACCATCAGCTGGAGAACGGGTCGCTACCGGCTGCGCTGCGGCGGCACCGCCGAGGAGATACTGGACGTGTAGTTACCGCAGCGACCGGCCGCTCGGCTTTCACCCCCCTCATCATTACAAAGAGGAGGAGCAGACAGAGACTGATTGTTTTATAAGACAGGCGTGTGAGTGTGTGTGTGTGAGTGAGTGTGTTTTTATAAACTATTTATGTTGGTGCTAAATATGACAACAGGAAAAAAAAAAAGGTGAGTGAGTCAGTCAGAGGCACCGAACAAGGAGAGAGAGTGACGCATCGCACTGAATAACCAGATCTCTGATCAGCCAATGAGGACAAAGCTTTAACAGCTCTGGCTTCTCATTGGTCCTCCACTTATTAACTTTGAAAAACAGGAAATCACAGCAGCAACAAAGCTCTTATTTATACAGCAGAGATAACGCATCACCCGACTCCCCCTGCTGGCGACTTCAGGGACGTCTCCACCTGGTGGTCATGTGACCAGCAGGTTTTAAGCTGTTGGTTCATCGTAAACATGTCGCAGCATTCGGTTCTGGTCGCCGTGGGCAACCGATCCAACATGCAACATATTAATCAGCCGGGTGTCGAGTTGAGACCTGTGCAGCTTATTTGTTTGGTTTATTTATCAGCTAACGGGTCACAGGTTTCATCAGGACTCGTAGACAGAAACGGTCTCACTCCAAGTCTCGTATCAAATCAGATCCGTCTGCGATCTGGATCCAACAATCAGAGCTCTGTGTTAAGATTTAATGTTAAAAAAAAAAAAGAGAACAAAGAAGCACTTTGGTGGAAAACATCCAAGTTTAAGCTTTTGTTTTGTTAATATGGAAACGACAGCTTTGATTCCTTTCTTTAAATGAATCAGGTCGGGACTAATTTGAACAAACTGTGATGGTTTCTGATTCAGGGATGTTCAGGTACCAGATGAGCTCGTTAAAGAGCCGCCTTGAGTCCTGTTAACCTGAACCCGGACCAGAGGACACGCCCCGCCTCCAGCGGGTCGACCAATCAGAAGCCTGCCTCACTGTACTTAAAAAAAAACTTCTTTATTCTGACGGTCAAAACATTTCACCAGTACTGGACCAAAAAAAAAAATTAAAAAATTAAAAAAGGTGAAACATTTCTGCAGGCAGAGTCCATCAGGTTTTTGAATGGATGTGTGTGTTCAGGCCCGGGGTTTGGTGATGACATCATCAGGTGTCTGATGAACCCCAGCTGAAGCCGTTTGTTTTGTATTTTTCATATTTTATTGTTCTAAACACCTGCTGTAAGCGGACCAATCTCAGCCTTACCCACTCAGCACTTGACTCGTTGAGAGGTGAGCTTGGGGGCGGGGCTTGGACAGACGGACAGCAGCCATTGGTTGTAAGGTTTATTTATTTATTCATGCGCCATCCTTCTGTCACACCTCCAGAATAAATAAAGATTTAACAAACTGTTTGTGTTTGAGTCTAGCACCACCCCCACCCACCCACCCCCCCTACTCCCCATCATGCAACAAGGCCCCGCCCACAACCACCATACATTCAGCACATACATCCGGAAACATGGAGAGTTTCAAAATAAAAGCTCAGCAGATGGGGTCAAATTGCTGATAGAATGCAGCCTTATGGATTCTTCTAACTAAAACCTTTCAAAATAAAATCAGAAAAAAAAAGCTCCAAAGGATCTAAATAGTAATCAAATCCTTTTTGTCATCTAAACCTCTCACTGGCTTTATTTTTATAAAAATATTTAATCTCTGACTGTTAGAGAACTTAAGTTTTTATTTGTATTTTTTTTTTTTTTACATTTTTCTAAGCTGAACTCAGAAGGTCCTGAAATAAATAAAATAATTTCAGACAGAAAGCTGCGTCACATTCAGGGCTATAAGATGGTTTCAAAGCTTAACTGTGACGATAAAAAGGCTAATAAATTAAATCTGAGCTTCATTTTCAAATTACTGTTTGTTCTAGAGTCATATTTCTATTGAAATTGTTTCTGATCTTTTTCTTTAGAATCTTACAAAGCGTCTGATCAGCAAAAATAACCATAGATGCACTGATCCAATGTTTATCAGTATTGGTCCCGATATTTAAGAAAATGGGATCAGTGAAGACTGCCTGATCCATAGGGGCTGATCTATTAAGTCTACTTATATAATAAAATTAAGTTAAAAAATCTCTTTAACAGCAGGAAAGTTGATTAAAATCCTTACAGTGCCAACTTGTTTCCAGGATGGAATCTGTCCCGTTGCCATAAATTGACAGTTTCGGTGACTTTAAACTGATCTGAAGAGGTTAAATAAGAAAAAAAAATCTGCATGCACAAGTCCAGGTCAGCAGGGTCAGTCTGAAATCGCTAGAGAAGTTCGGACCCGTCAGGTTGCCGCTCCTTCAGGACCGTCTTCTATCCGTCTCAGAGATTTCAGTTTGAGCTTCCTCCACAGGGTCAGTAGTGCCCACAGCGCGGCTCTATGTGTCTGAGCAGAACACTATAGCATTAAAGGTAACTGTTAGCAAACCAAGCGCACCCCTGAGAGGGCCGGGACAGTCTGGAACTGTTGCCGGGCAGATTTCACACATTCAGAAAGCTCCGGATTCTAGAACAATCTCAGATTCTAGACCAGGCATCCCTAAAATCGGTCTTCGAGGGGCGCTGTCCTGCAGGTTTTAGAGGATTCCTGCTCCAGCACAGCAGATTTTAATTAACAGGCTTTTGCTCAACTGCAATCATCAGAAACACCTGCAGGACAGCGGCCCTCCAGGCCCAACTTTGGGTTCTGGACTCTGGTTCTGGAGCTGCAGATTCTTCCTTTCGTGACACAAATTTGACGCCTGAACAGAAACCAATTAAGAGGAAGTGATGTCATAATAAATTAACAAGTTTGAAGGCACAAAAAGCTCATCTTGGTTTTTTCCTGTACAGTCTAAAAAAAAACTGCGGCTCAGTGTTTAGCTGATGTTCTGGTCCAATCTAAGCCGTTCTGGACCAGAACATCAAGTGATGAAACATTTGAAGGTTTAGAGTTTTCACGTCTTCAATCTGCCACTGCTCAGGTTTTAAAATGTAAACTCAACCAATCACAGCTCACACACAGACACAAGGGGGCGGGGCTTCACGGCGTCACTGATCACATGTTATACAGTATAAATACACCTGACATTAAAAAACCCTCCCAGAACAAACAGCGGAAACACACCAGCACAGGAAAAACAGGCGCCCCCTACAGGCTGTAAAAAAATCTAGAAATAAGGCACAACAGAATTGGAGACAGACGTGGACGGACAGCAGGAATAATATCAACAATGATGATGATGATCCAGCCGGTCAGACAGCAGCAGGACGTGGAGGAGAAGTAAAAAAAAAAAACTGTTTTAAAAGGTTTCAGCAGGAACAGAAACAGCTTCAGACGTTTCAAACCGGTTCTGGATGAAAGGCAGGTTCTGTGTTTCACCTCGCTGGACTCCAGTACCCATGATGCTCTGCTGCTGCTCAGGAATGTGCTCTGGAACATCTGTAACCATGGCAACGAGCCCTGTTCGACGACACGCGGCCACCCGTTCGTCCGCATCGGTCAGTGTAGGCCTGCTGGGAGGCCCTGCAGTCTGATTGGCTGCTGAGCTGCAGAGGGGGCGGGGCTCAGATGGTGTACTTGGAGAAGGAGACCCGCAGGTGCTGGTTGTGGTCCAGCTGATGGTCGTGCAGCTCGATCAGAGCCTCGATGGCTTCTTCCACTGACGCCAGCTGCAGCAGAGCCATCTTCCTGTCCTTCCTGTGAGATCAGAGGAAGTGACATCATCACAGCTGACGGACATGAAACAGGAACTCTGCTGACTAGTCGTCTGCTTGGTGCTTACTGGAAGAACTTGAAGGCTTTGACAGAGAACCCCCTGGTGGAGAACAAGTCCTTCAGGGTCTCCTCGCTGCCCGAAGAGCTGGAAGACGAGGACAGAGGAAGGAAGGACACAGTGAGGACAAAGGAAGGAAGGACACAGTGAGGATAAAGGAAGGAAGGAAACAGTGAGGACAAAGGAAGGAAGGACACAGTGAGGATAAAGGAAGGAAGGACACAGAGAGAATAAAGGAAGGAAGGAAACAGTGAGGACAAAGGAAGGAAGGAAACAGTGAGGACAAAGGAAGGAAGGAAACAGTGAGGACAAAGGAAGGAAGGAAACAGTGAGGACAAAGGAAGGAAGGACACAGTGAGGATAAAGGAAGGAAGGAAGGAAGGACACAGTGAGGACAAAGGAAGGAAGGACACAGTGAGGACAAAGGAAGGAAGGAAACAGTGAGGACAAAGGAAGGAAGGACACAGTGAGGACAAAGGAAGGAAGGAAACAGTGAGGATAAAGGAAGGACACAGTGAGGATAAAGGAAGGAAGGACACAGAGAGGATAAAGGAAGGAAGGACACAGAGAGAATAAAGGAAGGAAGGAAACAGTGAGGACAAAGGAAGGAAGGAAACAGTGAGGACAAAGGAAGGAAGGAAACAGTGAGGACAAAGGAAGGAAGGAAACAGTGAGGACAAAGGAAGGAAGGAAACAGTGAGGACAAAGGAAGGAAGGACACAGTGAGGACAAAGGAAGGAAGGACACAGTGAGGACAAAGGAAGGAAGGACACAGTGAGGACAAAGGAAGGAAGGACACAGTGAGGATAAAGGAAGGAAGGACACAGTGAGGATAAAGGAAGGACACAGTGAGGACAAAGGAAGGAAGGAAACAGTGAGGACAAAGGAAGGAAGGACACAGTGAGGACAAAGGAAGGAAGGACACAGAGAGGACAAAGGAAGGAAGGACACAGAGAGGACAAAGGAAGAAAGGAAACAGTGAGGACAAAGGAAGGAAGGAAACAGTGAGGACAAAGGAAGGAAGGACACAGTGAGGATAAAGGAAGGAAGGACACAGAGAGGATAAAGGAAGGAAGGACACAGAGAGAATAAAGGAAGGAAGGAAACAGTGAGGACAAAGGAAGGAAGGAAACAGTGAGGACAAAGGAAGGAAGGACACAGAGAGGACAAAGGAAGGAAGGAAACAGTGAGGACAAAGGAAGGAAGGACACAGTGAGGATAAAGGAAGGACACAGTGAGGACAAAGGAAGGAAGGACACAGTGAGGACAAAGGAAGGAAGGACACCGTGAGGTCAAAGGAAGGAAGGACACAGTGAGGACAAAGGAAGGAAGGACACAGTGAGGATAAAGGAAGGAAGGAAACAGTGAGGACAAAGGAAGGAAGGACACAGTGAGGATAAAGGAAGGAAGGACACAGAGAGAATAAAGGAAGGAAGGAAACAGTGAGGACAAAGGAAGGAAGGAAACAGTGAGGACAAAGGAAGGAAGGAAACAGTGAGGACAAAGGAAGGAAGGACACAGTGAGGACAAAGGAAGGAAGGACACAGTGAGGATAAAGGAAGGAAGGACACAGAGAGGATAAAGGAAGGAAGGACACAGAGAGAATAAAGGAAGGAAGGAAACAGTGAGGACAAAGGAAGGAAGGAAACAGTGAGGACAAAGGAAGGAAGGAAACAGTGAGGACAAAGGAAGGAAGGACACAGTGAGGACAAAGGAAGGAAGGACACAGTGAGGATAAAGGAAGGAAGGACACAGAGAGGATAAAGGAAGGAAGGACACAGAGAGAATAAAGGAAGGAAGGAAACAGTGAGGACAAAGGAAGGAAGGACACAGTGAGGACAAAGGAAGGAAGGAAACAGTGAGGACAAAGGAAGAAAGGACACAGTGAGGACAAAGGAAGGAAGGAAACAGTGAGGATAAAGGAAGGAAGGACACAGTGAGGATAAAGGAAGGAAGGAAACAGTGAGGACAAAGGAAGGAAGGACACAGTGAGGATAAAGGAAGGAAGGACACAGAGAGAATAAAGGAAGGAAGGAAACAGTGAGGACAAAGGAAGGAAGGAAACAGTGAGGACAAAGGAAGGAAGGACACAGTGAGGACAAAGGAAGGAAGGAAACAGTGAGGACAAAGGAAGGAAGGAAACAGTGAGGACAAAGGAAGGAAGGACACAGAGAGGACAAAGGAAGGAAGGAAACAGTGAGGACAAAGGAAGGAAGGACACAGTGAGGATAAAGGAAGGACACAGTGAGGACAAAGGAAGGAAGGACACAGTGAGGACAAAGGAAGGAAGGACACCGTGAGGTCAAAGGAAGGAAGGACACAGTGAGGACAAAGGAAGGAAGGACACAGTGAGGATAAAGGAAGGAAGGAAACAGTGAGGACAAAGGAAGGAAGGACACAGTGAGGATAAAGGAAGGAAGGAAACAGTGAGGACAAAGGAAGGAAGGAAACAGTGAGGACAAAGGAAGGAAGGAAACAGTGAGGACAAAGGAAGGAAGGAAACAGTGAGGACAAAGGAAGGAAGGACACAGTGAGGATAAAGGAAGGAAGGAAGGACACAGTGAGGACAAAGGAAGGAAGGACACAGTGAGGACAAAGGAAGGAAGGAAACAGTGAGGACAAAGGAAGGAAGGACACAGTGAGGACAAAGGAAGGAAGGAAACAGTGAGGATAAAGGAAGGAAGGACACAGTGAGGATAAAGGAAGGAAGGAAACAGTGAGGACAAAGGAAGGAAGGACACAGTGAGGATAAAGGAAGGAAGGACACAAAGAGAATAAAGGAAGGAAGGAAACAGTGAGGACAAAGGAAGGAAGGAAACAGCGAGGACAAAGGAAGGAAGGAAACAGTGAGGACAAAGGAAGGAAGGACACAGTGAGGATAAAGGAAGGAAGGAAGGACACAGTGAGGACAAAGGAAGGAAGGACACAGTGAGGACAAAGGAAGGAAGGAAACAGTGAGGACAAAGGAAGGAAGGACACAGTGAGGACAAAGGAAGGAAGGAAACAGTGAGGATAAAGGAAGGAAGGACACAGAGAGAATAAAGGAAGGAAGGAAACAGTGAGGACAAAGGAAGGAAGGAAACAGTGAGGACAAAGGAAGGAAGGAAACAGTGAGGACAAAGGAAGGAAGGACACAGTGAGGATAAAGGAAGGAAGGAAGGACACAGTGAGGACAAAGGAAGGAAGGACACAGTGAGGACAAAGGAAGGAAGGAAACAGTGAGGACAAAGGAAGGAAGGACACAGTGAGGACAAAGGAAGGAAGGAAACAGTGAGGACAAAGGAAGGAAGGACACAGTGAGGATAAAGGAAGGAAGGACACAGAGAGGACAAAGGAAGGAAGGAAACAGTGAGGACAAAGGAAGGAAGGACACAGTGAGGACAAAGGAAGGAAGGACAGAGTGAGGATAAAGGAAGAAAGGACACAGAGAGAATAAAGGAAGGAAGGACACAGAGAGGACAAAGGAAGGAAGGACACAGTGAGGATAAAGGAAGGAAGGACACAGAGAGGATAAAGGAAGGAAGGACACAGAGAGAATAAAGGAAGGAAGGAAACAGTGAGGACAAAGGAAGGAAGGACACAGTGAGGACAAAGGAAGGAAGGAAACAGTGAGGACAAAGGAAGGAAGGACACAGTGAGGACAAAGGAAGGAAGGAAACAGTGAGGATAAAGGAAGGAAGGACACAGTGAGGATAAAGGAAGGAAGGAAACAGTGAGGACAAAGGAAGGAAGGACACAGTGAGGATAAAGGAAGGAAGGACACAGAGAGAATAAAGGAAGGAAGGAAACAGTGAGGACAAAGGAAGGAAGGAAACAGTGAGGACAAAGGAAGGAAGGACACAGTGAGGACAAAGGAAGGAAGGAAACAGTGAGGACAAAGGAAGGAAGGAAACAGTGAGGACAAAGGAAGGAAGGACACAGAGAGGACAAAGGAAGGAAGGAAACAGTGAGGACAAAGAAAGGAAGGACACAGTGAGGATAAAGGAAGGACACAGTGAGGACAAAGGAAGGAAGGACACAGTGAGGACAAAGGAAGGAAGGACACCGTGAGGTCAAAGGAAGGAAGGACACAGTGAGGACAAAGGAAGGAAGGACACAGTGAGGATAAAGGAAGGAAGGAAACAGTGAGGACAAAGGAAGGAAGGACACAGTGAGGATAAAGGAAGGAAGGAAACAGTGAGGACAAAGGAAGGAAGAACAGTGAGGACAAAGGAAGGAAGGAAACAGTGAGGACAAAGGAAGGAAGGACACAGTGAGGATAAAGGAAGGAAGGAAGGACACAGTGAGGACAAAGGAAGGAAGGACACAGTGAGGACAAAGGAAGGAAGGAAACAGTGAGGACAAAGGAAGGAAGGACACAGTGAGGACAAAGGAAGGAAGGAAACAGTGAGGATAAAGGAAGGAAGGACACAGTGAGGATAAAGGAAGGAAGGAAACAGTGAGGACAAAGGACGGAAGGACACAGTGAGGATAAAGGAAGGAAGGACACAAAGAGAATAAAGGAAGGAAGGAAACAGTGAGGACAAAGGAAGGAAGGAAACAGCGAGGACAAAGGAAGGAAGGAAACAGCGAGGACAAAGGAAGGAAGGACACAGTGAGGATAAAGGAAGGAAGGAAGGACACAGTGAGGACAAAGGAAGGAAGGACACAGTGAGGACAAAGGAAGGAAGGAAACAGTGAGGACAAAGGAAGGAAGGACACAGTGAGAACAAAGGAAGGAAGGAAACAGTGAGGATAAAGGAAGGAAGGACACAGAGAGAATAAAGGAAGGAAGGAAACAGTGAGGACAAAGGAAGGAAGGAAACAGTGAGGACAAAGGAAGGAAGGAAACAGTGAGGACAAAGGAAGGAAGGACACAGTGAGGATAAAGGAAGGAAGGAAGGACACAGTGAGGACAAAGGAAGGAAGGACACAGTGAGGACAAAGGAAGGAAGGAAACAGTGAGGACAAAGGAAGGAAGGACACAGTGAGGACAAAGGAAGGAAGGAAACAGTGAGGACAAAGGAAGGAAGGACACAGTGAGGATAAAGGAAGGAAGGACACAGAGAGGACAAAGGAAGGAAGGAAACAGTGAGGACAAAGGAAGG